TTCGTGTTGTGGCATCTCGTTGGAATTTAAATCGTTTTGATTGGCTACCTAAGATGAGCTCAAAATTATTAACCAATCAAAACCTTCTAAATGAAATTCAACCAATCCGATCGATTGTGGATCGGTTTGATTCGATTGCACCCCCTCCTCAAATTTGTACTATCAAATCGACAATGTATGCGATACGGTGGAGTGAACGATGGATGAATGCGTGTAGGAAGCCGAGCAAACAGGGTGCGACGGCAGTGACGCGTGCGTAGCTTTTCTAAAGGTCCACTGGGCCAAGCTCGAGGACGAAGTCAACAAGCGCATGCGCACGATGCTGGAGCTCGAAGACGACTCGTCCGTGGCCACGCCCGGCAAAGCCGCCAAGAAGAAAAAGAAGCACAAGAAAAACAACCACGCCGCCAAGAAGAAACTGCCACCCCCGTCCACGACCAAGATGTCCACCGCCCCCAGCAGTCCAAAGGCTGACGAGGACGAGTCGTCTGACGACGGGGCATCGGTGCCCCACGTAGCGCCGCCGCCGTCCACCACCACCGCGTACGTGGCCATTCTCACCTGAATGGATACTGTATGCTTGTTGTTTATGTGGTGTTGTAATACTGTATATATTTTGTATATGGGAATGGGTATTGTCTAATCGATTCGAAACTGGAGCCGTCAGCAGAATAAGGTCGGATGAAAGAATCGCCTAAGCCAATCAAATCACGTCCTGTCGAATATATTGTGCCAATCCAAACGTTTGACCCTTCCGCATTGGGCAAAACAACCTATATTCTAGTATCATTATACTAATATGTGTAAAGTATATAGTGTGTACAAGCTCAAATGGATTCGAATGCTATTTGACAAGTTGAAATTTGGGTGAAATGCACAATATGGTTGAGAACCTGTTTTGATGGCGTTGGTAGAGGCATCATCCACCACCAGCCTCCTTCCCCCACACCGACGACGACGACGACGACGGGGCTGTCAGTTGCCGTCGAAGACGATGCGTGGACGACAGTGTGTCGAAAGCAGCCGCACGACAAAAAGGACACGACCAAGTCATTGACGCCACCTGTGACATCGTTCGACACGGAATCCAGCACTGTGCACCCGACGGGATCGGCCACGAAACGAGTGGCCACACCTCCACCAGAAACTATCAAACCATCCCCCCCGCAACCCCCCGAACCTGCTTCTTCTTCCCCCCCCCACGACCAACCACAACAGCAGCAGCAACCACCTGCTCCCCACCTGCAGCCCACACTAGCCCCAAGCGCCGACGTCGTCCCCACCAAGGAGCCCCGTGCAACGACATCCTCTCCGACAACATCCGATGCAAACTCAACCCTTGCGCACTCCCCCCCGCCACTCGCTCGACCGTTCCGCACGTCCAACAGCCCCCCCGTCCACCACCACCGAGAAGTGCTTTCCACGCCTCGGTATACCACGGCCTCGTCCATTCCATTTTTACACCATCGACCAACCCACTCCTTGGTACGTGTGTTAGTTACCCCATATAAAACTAAACGAAATTTGATCAAATCATATGACGTCATCCATACGACGTCTGAGTGTTCACGTAATTTTTATTACTTCAGTACTATGTTATTCAGATACGTATTTATGTTTATATATGCTTTTGCATCATGGATATTCCACATGCTTGTAGACAAATAACGAGGAGGTATTATTCTTTCATTCGTCTTTAGACGTAAATGTTTCAGAGATTTATAAATATTTTTTATCTATACATTTTGATCATGTATTGTCTACATGCTGCATGTAGTCAAATATGCCGTCGGCCCCAATATCTTCTTTGACGTGGCAAGCCCACATCCAGCCAGTATCTTCTTCGGCCACCCCCAGTCGCAACGGATGGTGGAGCGACCGCCACTACCGCAAAGGCGCGGCGGTGCCGCTTCGTCCCGCCAACCTGCTAGGCTGGCTACAGCACTTGGACACGAACGTGCGGGATGCGCTGGCCATGCTTGCATGCGGCACGTGTGGCGACTGGGTCCACGACAACCTCCAGTGTCCGCACTGCCAGCAGCTCTACTGCCACCGCTGCGTGCCACTCTCGTCCGTCGTGTTTTGGCTATATGTCTTCTTCTCACTGGTGTTAGTAGATGTGTACGATGTGGAGTGGCCTGCTGCGACCCGTCGACGCTCCAACACAACGTGGTGGCGCAACAGCAAGCGGCGTGCGTGGGTCTCGTCCAAGGCGATGGCTCCACCGCCACCACGACCAAGTCCCTGGCGGCGTTGGAGGACGACATGCATGCCGCGGTGCCGCTCGCCCGACACGTGGCGCTGAGCCCTGTGGGGTTGGTGCCTGGGCAAACCGAGTACCTGGCCTCGTGTAGCATGGCGCAGCTGGACGTGTTGGAAGAGATGCATTACACAGCCCTGCGGCAACTCCAAGAGGCCCGCGTCACCAGCGTCCGAGCCCACGAGCGCATGCGATACGACCAAGAACTCAAGCAGCAACTATACCTTCACCAAAGCCTCGTCACGCCAGTGTCAACCGTGTTTGCAAGCCACGACGACGACCGGTTGGTGGGATGATGGGGGGCGGGCGGACGGACGTGGGCCTAGAGGTGCTATGTAACATTACAGATAACGACGAACAAGATCATCAACGCGACAGGACTGGTGGTGTTGAGTCAAAAACCAGCAGTGAATCCAATACCAAGTGGATGTTGAAGGCGAAATATGCAGCTACATAACAAGCTTATAGGAATGTACACGTTTGTTGATTGTCAAATGGATTCGAAACTGTAGTCCTAAACAGAATCGAATGTCGCAAGAATGGATTCAAGAACCGCCTAAGCCAATCAAATCTCGTCTTATCGAATTTCTGCCAATCCAAAACGTTTGATATGGCCCAGTCCCTCCGCATTGGCGAAAACCTCATATATACTAATGTTTGTATTTTATAGTTTGTACAAGCTTAAATTAGTCTAAATTTGGGTGAACTGCACAATACAGTATACTGTACTGTACGTGCTAGGTTCCCAACCAAAAAGCGAGTTTGAGGCAAAAGTACACTGTAAATAAGCTGGGTCGGCAGTATAAATCCCGTGGCTTTATGAGTGTGTGGGTTCGATCGTTCGTTGTGCTGAATGTCGTGCTGGGTATATCGATCGTATTAGTGCCACTAGTATGCCCATGCAAAGTACAATGGGTCGAACCACCAATCAAATCGTTGTATTCATCCCTTCCAACTGTTTTCGGTTCTATAATATTCCCACCTTGAGACCAGTTTACAGCACTTGCATTGTGCCTGGCACAGCAAACCAAGTGCAAAGTCAAAAATAACAGCATATTGATCATTCTTACTTCTACCAGACTGTTATAGATAAATGCCATTGCTGCCTTCCATTCACAACAGCAACACAATGATGGACTGGACTGCTAAACCCAGCTATCAAATTGGCGATCAAACAGCACTCTATCAAGAAGCATGTTAATCAAAGCAATGGGTACGGCGTGTCCAGCGGCCCTCCGACCACAATATTGTGGCATTGCGGCATCAATTATCATTATTGTCTCTATTTCAGCCAATGAAAATGATTTATTTCAAATGCTTCACGGAGACTGGCTAGTATTATAGCCAATCCGAATGATATATTTTCCACATATCCAGTCTGGCCAGACGGGGCAGATCACATCACGATTGACCGGCTCAGTCGACGACGACTTCGCGTAGTCCATCCACACCCACGGAAAACGCACGTCGTCCCTACTAGAGCCGCGCCGAATCAATCCCCGCAGTTGATTCGACAGGTACGAGATTTTCCCGAGATATGCAGAAGGTTCCGTGGTTCCCAACCACCCTATCTATCTTTAGGTTGACCCCATCGTTACAGCATTGCCCGACGGACACCATTTCGGAGGTAACGAAATCCATTTTGAACGTGTTTCGGCGAAACACGTCGTCCAAGTCGCTTGATCAGCATTACCTGGCTTCTTCGATGAAGTCAGCGCCGCCGCCGTCACCCCAGTGTGCGCTGGGCGAGCACGAACGAACGCCTGCAACCCGTCATCATTCGTCGATCACTGTGTCCCAGAGGCACCAGCATACCCACGCCCTCAACAGTTCGAACTACTTTGAAAAGGCTGCGAAAAAGGAGAACCGCACCATTTCGCAGATCAAGAATGGCCTGCGCAGCATCACACACAAGGCGTCGTCCCTCTTTGACGACTCGACATCCTCCTCATCCACGTCATCTCGGCGTCCCTATCCACCAAGCCATTCATCCAGTTCCAGCGAACATTCCCGCACCAGTTCCCAGGTCACGCTGTGTCAGTCCCCCAGCACGACGCCGATCGATGGCCTTCACATCCATGATGCCGCGAGTCCGAGGTTGACGGCCCCGGACGACTCGGACGACGAGCATGCGATCACCACCTACATCCGGGACCTGACTCCTGACCCGCGCAAGATCCTTCGAGGCCGCGGCAGCTCAGCGCTTGTCCGCGCCGTGATCCGCGCCAACATGATCGATTGCATGTCATGCAAGTGGGCATCCGGGTACTTTTCGTACGTGTCGTACGGGGTTCGGCAAAAGCAACTCTCCAGTACGTCCCTCCAAACACGTAATTATTGTCGCTTTTACCCAATATTTGGCCTTTTGTGCTTTTATATTGGCCAACTCTATCGATCAATTCTCTTCTTTGGCTTGAATTTGTATGTGTCAAATAGAACGTCCTACGGGGATTGGTATCACACTAATTGAAGTCTCACATTAATTTGATGTTGATGCTCCTGCAATCTGATTGGCTAGATTCTTCGGTTGTGTCGTTATTTATTCGTTCTCCATGTCTCTCCAGTTTAGAATACAACACCATCACCACGTCGTCGTCCTCATCTTTCTCGTAGCGCTCGAAGCCAACTCGCTGCGGTGGCTCATCTGCCAGTACATCATTCTCGAGGCCACGCGGCGCAACGCCGTCCAGCAGGTGCTTCGCGACCAGCTCACGCGCAAGCTCACCGACTTCCGCATCGCCGTCCAATGTGTGTCGGGCATGACTGTGGTCAAGTACGGGCGCAAGGGCAAACCGCACGCGACGCAGCTGCTGGTCGAGAACGCCGACGTGATCCGGTGGACGCCCAAGCTGGGCCACCATCTGACGTCGATGCTGCAGCAACACAAGCACAAAAGCATCTCACTATCGACCGTGATTTCCGTCCAGAGCGGAATCAAGAGCGACGTGTTCCGCAAGGCGTACAAGGACGCCAAGGGCATGCTGGACCCGGCCTGCTGTCTCTCCCTCGTCACCCCCACGCGGTCGCTGGACGTGGTCACAACCAGTCGGCAGCAGTGCGACTGGCTGCAGCGCAGTGTCCAGCTCATGGTCGCCCAAGCCCACGAGAACGAGAAGAAGGCCAGCATGCACGTGGAAACGACCATCATGAAGAAACTCGGGAGTATGACCGTACACAAGCACGGGCGCAAGGGCCGACCGCACAAAACCAACTTGAACGTCGACAAGTACGGCGAAATCACGTGGAAGGGCAAGAGCGGCGGCGCCATCTTGCTCCAGGAAGTGCTCGAGCTGCGGCTGGGCCACGCGACTGCTGTATTTCACCGCGTGTCGACGCAAAAAGCCAACAACCCCAATCACTGTCTGTCGCTGGTCACGGCATCCCGGACATTGGATTTGGAACTGCATTCAGAAAGTGAACGGGATTACATGGTCATTGCTTTTCGGTACGTACAGTACGCCCGTGGGATGTTTGATTTGCTTCGACTTTGAATTGAGGACTGGACTGACATGCGATTGGCAGAAATTCGACACAACGTGATTTGATTGGTTTAGGCGGTTATTCTTTTTAATCCATTCATTCATTCGCTAAAGCCATTCTCTTTATCTACTGAGGGCTCCACTTTCGTATCAATTTGACAATATATTGTTTTTCTTTTACCCTAAATTTGGACTTTTGTGCTGATTTGCCAAATCTGTCGATCGATTCTCTGTACTGAAGTTTGTACGTAATACGTTGTCCTGTAGTGACTAATCACACTAATTTAGGTATCACACTAATTTGATTCTGATGATTGTTTCCTGCCGTTTGATTGGCTAAATACTTCTGCCGATACTTGTGTACATTTGATTGGTTCGATTTATTCTCCATGTCGCTCCAGTTTAGAATATGTGTATGCTTTGTCGATCGTGCAAACAACCATGTGCTATGTGGGACGATATATATATATATTGATGGTTTGGGGTCTCTAATACTCTATTTGGGTAGATATTTATTGAACAAGATGCGCGATCGAGCCCGAGAAGCAAAACGCATGAAAGCCGAGCGAGGGGTCCGCATGCTACAGGAAGCATATCAGTATCATGCCAGTCGGATGCAAGTACAAGCCCAACCCGTTGGGTACGACCTGGAGCGATACCCCGGCAGCAGCCTCCCGCCGTCCCCCACGGCGTCGTCCTCGTACTTGCCATCTCCATTTGCTTCGTCGTCCTCTGTCGAACGGTATCCGCCATCTCCGTCGGCGCAACCGCTTCCATACCCGCAAGCACCGCACGCGCTGTCGCAGTTTCGGGTGGAGTCCAAGCAAGGATTAACAACCCCACAAGCAGTAGCATCACCAAAACCGTCCAAGGCGCTGCTGCTGCCGCCCCACCAATTCCCCTCGTCAAACTCGTCTATGAGAGTGATGAAACAATCATTGGTGCCTTCCGCCACATCGTAATCTAATATATGTACCCCTCGCCATCCATGTCTATAGCAATAACTTTATATTCATACGGAGTGTGAAGTTAGCTACCGGTACTACTGTAGTATGTTGCTCTGCACTGTATGATTGGCTGAAATAATATGTATATTCTACTCTAAGCGAATCATATCAAGTCCAACAGTTGAATTTCCACGAATCCAAATGGAGAAAACTGCCCAATCAACGTCGTCGTTGGATTTTGCCCAATCACAGCGACTTGAAATCCTCGGTAGAATTGGATTCCTCGATTCTTCTTCACCTCACCGCCGCACATTCGATCCGACGACGATGGATCGCCTGCAACGACTCTTCGGAAACCTTCCCGGCATGCAAGGACATGGCATGGGCGGAGCCAACGATGGACCGGCCGTGGATACGGCTGAAAAAGTGCACATCTCGTCGTTGGCGCTGTTGAAAATGCTCAAACACGGCCGCGCGGGGGTGCCGATGGAAGTGATGGGACTCATGCTTGGGGAGTTTGTTGACGACTACACCGTGGTGTGCCTGGATGTGTTTGCGATGCCCCAGAGCGGAACGGGGGTGAGCGTGGAAGCTGTGGACCCCGTGTTCCAGACCAAGATGTTGGACATGCTCAAGCAAACCGGCCGCGCCGAGATGGTCGTGGGGTGGTATCACAGTCATCCTGGGTTTGGCTGCTGGTTGAGCGGCGTGGACATCAACACGCAGCAGTCATTCGAAGCGTTGAACGCCCGCGCCGTGAGTATCGTCGTGGACCCGATCCAGTCGGTGAAGGGGAAGGTTGTGATCGACGCGTTTCGCTTGATCAACCCGCAGCTGATGATGTTGGGCCAGGAGCCTCGTCAAACGACGTCGAACATCGGGCACTTGAACAAGCCTAGCATCCAAGCGCTGATCCACGGGCTGAACCGACACTACTACTCGATTGCGATCGACTACCGCAAAAACGAGCTGGAGGAGCAGATGCTCATGAACCTGCACAAGAACACGTGGAGCGACGGGCTTGTGTTGACCGAGTTCGAAGCCCACTCGGCCAAGAACGAGGAGATGGTGACGTCCATGCTCAAACTCACCAAGCAGTACAACGAGCGCGTGCAGGAGGAGGACGAGAAGACCGCGGACGAACTCGTCGTGTCCAACGTCGGTAAGATCGACCCCAAGAAGCACCTCGAGTCCGACGTGTACGATCTCATGGCGCTCAATACCGTACAGTGCCTCGGTGCTATGTTGGACACGATCGTGTTTTAATCTCCTTAATCAACCACCCTGGCTGGACCTGTGCTTGCTTCCCTTCTTCTACCCATGTACTCGGTGGGTACTTATCCGTTTTGGTCTCATCGTAATGTCACTCTGGCTGAAAACGAACTACATATACATGCGGCAAACTGACCACACACGACCGTGGATTGGAGTTTGGTACAGTTTAGAGGGCACTAGGTGGCAACTGAAAAGGACTTAGTCAAATTCAAAGAGAGGGGGGGGGCTTACAACCCAAGCAGCATAACCCCCCCCTGTTTGTGCATCGTTCAGTGGCCATTGAAGGGGATATTCCCAGTGTTATGAGTAAGGACTTTATAAAGTACAAGCAAGCAGGCATAAGCCGCCCTTGGGTTCTCATCCCATTTAGAGAGGAGGGTCGGGTTCTATAATTAGCCGCGAGGCCGGCAGTTGCGTTGGAAGGTGTGGATTGCTAAATTTGGGTTCAGGTAGGTGGTCATACTCGTTTCTTGCGAGCACAAACTAGCTCGAACACCACCAGCATGCAGCGGGAAGAGTGCATCTACAACCTCATCCCAAAGGTTGTGGTCGTGCCGGACAAGCCCACGCGGTACACGAGCACACACGACCCCAACTCGCAGCCGACGGCGTCGACGTTCGGGTTGCAAGGCAAGACCAAGCTGCTCGGATCGAATTTGGGCCAAGAGAAGCCGCGGACGCCCCCCACTGCGGCGAAAACGTTTGGCAAGTTGCCTCAAAAGCCAGACCCCAAGGACTTTACAAAGAAACACTCGAAATGCAACATGCCACCGTCCAAACGTACGTCGTTGTTTGATGTGCTCCACAGTCAATATATATATATGTGTGTGTGTATATCCAAAGTGATTTATATATTATTTCAGAAAAGGACATCGCATTGGATATACTTCGAAGTGGTATATATATCATCACGTTGACTCGTGTGTGTCTGTAGCGACCAAGTTTACGTATGACGGGGTGAAAAAGCCCCCGCTGGTCAAAGCCAATGAAAAGCCCGTGATGGGCTTGAAAACATCCAAGAACTTTATCGCAGCCAACGCCGTGGAAGCCATCTTGGACGTGCCAGGCAACCGCGCGCGGGTGAAAGCTGCGGCCCCCGTCTACCGCGACAAGCCCGATTACGGCCAGGTTGGTGGCATCCGGATATGCAACATGTGACACGACGTTGTTGTGATAACGTGCCATATGTATAACATTGATTGAAGTGAAGGAATGTCGTGAGCATGAATGACGTGGACTGACAAATGTGAAGTTGAAGGACATGATCACAAAGTGCAATGTGACAAGGCATGACGTTCTCATCGTGTTTGATGGGGAATGTAACGTTAGGTGCCAGAGTACTTGCGCGAAGTGAAGCAAGAGATCGAGCAAGAGAACGAAATGATCGAGGAGTTTGTCCGGCAAAACAAAAACATTTTGGCGGATCAAGAGCCAAAGGTGGAAGCAATGGACGACGACGAGCGCCTCCAGCTCATTGACGCGCTCAAAGCCAAGTGGGACCATGTCAATGCCAAGTACCAAAAGCTGTGCCATAACGTGTCGTTCGACACCCAGGGCAAGGTCCGGCGGAAGGAAACGTTCGAGAAGGAGCTGACACAGATCGAAAAAGACATTCAAGTGCTGTCCAGGGGCCCCGTGGCCGTGAACCGAGATTGACCAACATATGGAACAAGCCAGCAGCATGTATATCTAAATAAACTGTACAAGGGGAAGCCATGGCGTACTAGTAGGACATAGATGCACGTTTCAGGACGAGGCTGGGATGGACACAGTCGAGGAAGGCAAAGCCATATAAAAGTTATGCGAGGCAACACCGCTTTGTTTGTTGGTGAGCGGAAATGGCCAGTTAACTCTATTTAAAGATGTTTTTAAATAGTGTGATATTATTGACACCCCCTGCCCTGGTCAAGGATGAGCAAGAAATAGTGTTGGTAACGTTAATGGCTTGTTACGGATCATCCCTAATAGTAGTACTAATTATTCGAATTACTATTAATAACGTTAGTATTATCATTACCGGTAGGCCACTAACCCAGAGATTATTATCAAAACAGCAACCGCTGATACATCAGATTGGAACGATTATTACTACTGTACTACCATAGAGTCAAGTCTTATAGAGCCAGTAGCGAGGGTACTGGCGCTGGATGTTGTTGAGTACGACGCTTACCTATAAACAATGACAAACACTCAGACCTGTGCGAATGAAGAGTGTTTGTTGTACTCGCTTCTTACCAAGACCAGGATGCAACTGCCGGTAAACACGGGCATCACCACGTACAAGTACCCAAGCTCTTGGATGTCGGGGCCGGAAATCACGGCGATGAGGGCCGTGGCGCCTCCGGGGGGATGGACGGTGTCGGTGACTTGCATCACGACGAGGGACAGCGACACGGCCAACGCGCAGCTGAGCCACTTCCAGCCGTCCCCTGGAGCGACATGGAGAAACAGTTGCGAGATGGACACGCCCACAATGGCGCTCAGTGTATTGCCCAGCACCACGTTCTACCAACAACACACCCACACTCGGGTGAAGGGGAGGAAGCTCGAACCGACGTAAGTACCCGTGGCTGTGCGAGGGGCGACTGAATCGCGCCAAAGGTGAGAATGGCCGTCGCGCCAAAGGAACCGATGATTGACGTCACCTAAAGAGCAGTCAGGCACGGCTAAGGCTGCAAGTAAATAGTAGATTGTCAACCTTGACCCCGGATCCGTACGTCGCTTGAACAGAGTACTGGATCGCAGCAAGGACGCCAATGCCGCAGAAGCTGCTCACAAACGACCAAAACAGGATAATCATGCGATGGCGGCGTCGATGACTGTCCCAGGTCGCGTTGCGGTGCGTGGGATCGATGGCGAGGCGACGATGCGCCGCGTTCACTTCGGGGTTGGCCGGCATCGACTCGACGCCGCGAAACTTGAGGGCGTACGTGCCCATGAGCAAGGGTCCTTTCAACGGAGCGGTGTCGGACACTCTTTGGAACCCTACGTCCGCTCCATCGTCGGCTGGCGTCGACGGAGGTGCAGGCGGATCGCATGTCGTCATGTGCTGCACCATCCGTCTTTTGTTGCTGTGGTGCTAATAATAATAAAAACAACGTTGTTAACAGTAAACATTTACTGCATACTTCGAAGTAGTATGCACCCTGTAGTGGATACACATGCGATATGATTGGTGGGCTATTTTTAGATACCCGTCATGATGAGTTCACATTTACATTAATTGGTGGTCTACTTGATCGTGAAGGTTGTGAGGTCACAAGCTACGGGATACCAGGTCTAGCATGGAGAATACAAACGATCGAGCATATACGTATACTTCCCGTTCGATATACATTCGCTAGCACTGCACGACAGCGGTAATACTAACGTTATACTACGTAGTACACATTTGGGTGTTGCATGATGTTAAAGATTATTACTATTTGGAAAACCAGTAGCGAGGGTATTGTCGCTGAATGTTGTTGAGAAGAACACTCACCTACACCACGCCAACTGAGCGAATGGACTACAGTAGGCTCCGTACCAATACTAGGACGCAGCTGCCAGTGAACACGGGTATGACGACGTACAGATACCCCAAATCTTGGATTTCACGCCCCGATGTGACGGCGAGAAGGGCAGAGGCCCCACCTGGGGGATTGACAGTGTCTGTGAGTTGCATGGCCACAAGGGAGATGGAGATTGCAAGCGCACAGCTGAGCCATTTCCACTCGTCTCCGGGTGCCACGTGCTGGAATACATCGGCGACCAAGACGCCCACGAACGCACTCAGTGTGTTGCCCACAATGCAATTCTACATTTCATCAGTGCAAGAAGCCATACAAGTTATATCGGATAAATGTACTCTGGGCTGAGATAACGGAGCTTGAACGACTCCAAACACGAGAATCGCCATGGCGCCAAATGATCCGGTGATCGCCTGCACCTGGTCAAGCAAAACACACACGCACATTACAACTTGGGAACGCATTGTGATGACGACTGTACAGTGCATACTAGTATGTACCTGTACACCAGACGAGTATTCAGCATGAAGGGTGAATTGAATGGCTGCAAGGATGGCAATGCCGCTGAAACTCGCGATAAAGGACCACAAGATGACCTTGGCTTTTGCGGCGTATGCCTCTCGGGTGTAGTTTGACACTGTGCGGTTGGCTGGTAGAATGGCCAGCATGGGAAGGGCGGGACATATCTCTGGTGTCGTCTCGTTGCCTTGGATTCTCTGGACGTACCCGCGAAACAAGCCTGCCTCATCTTCTTCGTGGAGGTTGTGCGAAGTGTCGTCCCTTGCCGCGGTGTAGTTCATGTTGTCGTCGTTGGTGGTTTATTTTGACAGTGAACATACAAATTCGTGACAGTGCTGTGATAGGGCATTAAATTACAGTTTTAACCAGTCGTTCGAACGTATAGGTTGTAAGAGGTAATCAGTTTAACGAGGTTTGAAGGCGTGCCTGTTGTACCACCTGTACTACAGTATTAATAGTATTGTAGATTCGATATGAATTTCCTAACCCCGCCCAATCGAACCTCGCAGTAACCGATCCTCGCCGAATTGCGTTTGGTAGCCAATCAAATGTCGCAGCGAGGTTGAAGCGGAGTTCACAGTCAGCGAAGGGGACAGAATTGGGAAATTCACAGTAATGTTACTCGGTATCAATTCTTGCACCCTTTAATTTTCACCATTAAGTTTTAAATTATATTCACAGTGAATAAGATAACGCTACAAATTTGGTAAAATCTAGCCCATATGTTTTCTCAAACTTCAATGCTCACAATTACTGTTAAATACATACTGAAATCAAATGAAAGTGGGGCAAACAATTGGCTCGGCACTCCTGCTTTTGTTTTACTAACAGTAAGTTAGTATTAATACATGTTATTAATAACATACAAGTACACTGTCCGTTTGGGCGAGACGAATGCAAAGAAATTTTCTAGTGGGCCAATTTGACTGTGAATACGTTTTTTAATCTCTTCGTCTCCAACCACAAATGCTGCATGCAGAATCTAGTACCGTTATAGTAACGTTAAGAGCATCTCCAACGGTGTTTTTAATTCTATTTCAATTCGAAGTTACGGATATAGAATGGAAAACCTTGCGCTATCCGGAGGATTTGCTGCAATTGAAAATAGAAAATCTGCGGGACGTAATTTCTAAAAGTCCGAATAGTGCCAAAAAATGGCAACCGCAACAGTAAAGTTCATTGTGTGCAATTCTATATTACTACTCCGGAGTAGTATATTACAAGCATGAATATTACCATAGCCAAGCACACACTTTCTGATCACAATGTCGCAATACTATACGTATTGTACTGTATAATTGAAATTAAATCGTAAGAACTTAATTTTAATAAAATACCAAGAAAAGATATTGAAACCGTTCAGAAATTAGATAGCGTTCAGAGAATCGATCCGCTACCTGACTTTTACCTCGAAGTAGTATATTACACGTATAGATTGATGACTATATAACGCTTGATGGAGCAATCGGATATTCGCCTTGTTGGGTACAATTCCTCGAATATACTTTATCCACTTAGAATCATGCTTCATTTTGATTGGTTCGTTTCCAAAATGTTGCGGAGTTCCAAGGTTCAAATCATCAAGATCGATCACAACTCCTTCATCATGGCCCAGAAGAAGGCACTTTGGAGCTCGCTAGCGACGCTCAACAAGCTCACATCTAGCGCCAAGTCGACGTTGTACACGCTCGAGACGTCCAAGGGACCCCTCGAAGGTTTTGCTGTACACGGCGAGACGCCACGAGCTCCGTTTCCACCGTTCACGGCCGAGACCGCGTTGCAAAAAGTCAAGGCCGCCGAGGATGCATGGAACTCCCGAGACGCCGAGCGCGTGTCTCTTGCATACACCCCCGACACGGTGTGGCGCAACCGCGATCAGATCTTTGTCGGTCGCGCCGCCGTCGTCGACTTCCTTCGGTCCAAATGGGCACTCGAGACCAACTACACGCTCGTGAAGAACCTGTGGTGCCATGACCACAACCGCATTGCCGTGCGGTTCACGTACGAGTACCAGCGCGTGTCGGATGGCCAGTGGTTCCGCTGCCACGGCAACGAGCTGTGGCAGTTTGATGACCAAGGGTTCATGCAGCACCGCGATATGAGTGGCAACGACGTCCCCATTGCCGCCTCCGATCGCATCTATGTCAACTAACACGGTTGGCCTCGCTGATTGTACCCTGCGATACAGTTAATGCACAGTACACGGATTGCAGGAACCCAAGCCAACAAAGTACGCTACAATGTGACTTTTGCAATCACCTTGCATTCCATATTCTCGTTGAAACTAGTAACCTTAGTAGTAGTACTAGTATCTCTAACGAGCAGCCAAAGTGCTAGAATCCACGCCTTGTTAGTCTAGAATCGTAAATTGCGCTTGGGTGACCATGAACACAACAGGATACAATTCCTCCGACGGGCCCACGAGGTTCATCTTGAACGGCTCTCCGTCGTTCACGGCAAACATAACATGCAACGTCGTCCGCCGAATCGTCACCACGTCGCCCTCTTCGATTGGAGGCAGCCTGTGGATCTGAATCTCTTTTAGCCACATAGCTCCATGAGACACGTACAGGTAGCAGGTCGACATGGATTCGCTGCTAAAGGGTATCATGCCGAACGAGCCGAGGCCGATGGCGTAGCTTCCAAGGGCACTGTCGACGCGGATTGTAAACGTCGCCACCAGCGGCTCCTCGGCCACCGCGCCCTGCCACTTTCGACCTTTTCGACACCACTGAATCGTCCGCAAGTCTTTCGACAGCGCGATGTCTGGTCCGTGCGTCTCTGGGTCCCATCGAATGGCGGGGAGGTCCACCTTCAAATACTCGAGCATTGCCAAAAACTCGTCCTACTCAACCGCCGTCAGCCCCACCATCGACATGATCCTTTCCGTGCGCAGAAAGAAGAGGACGCGTCGAAACAGAGTTGGATCTAGGTCTAGGAAGTACGCGTCGCCGTCGGGTTTCCACCGCCCAGACCTGAGCAACGCATGAAAGTACGTGCCTTCCCAGCGCAGCAGCGTAGCATTGGACGTTTGGAACGTCGTGCCCCCCACGTTCAGCGTGACAATGTTGGGGTGGAGCTTGACGCATTGGTCAATGCGGGCTTCGAGCTCGGCCCAGTTGGCTACCTTAGTATCCACCGCGTCGTCTTCGGCATTGTCGACGGATGCCCCCGCCGTCCCAACGTCGCCAACATCACCAGGTTCCATCGACGTTGTGTTAAAGTGCAAGCACGCTGTGATTTGTGCAGTGAATCTTGTTTATGAATTCTAGAAGTGGCGGTTGGGACAAGCAACTGTAGTCCTCTCGTGATTGATGTTCAACTGGACCAACTTTATCTAGTCAACTACCGCAACCGGCATACATTCTGCTTGCATCGTGCCCCTCCAGATGGTAACCCTCTGCGCCTTATTCAGACGTGGACGAGGCTAGCGCATTTCCTTCCTCCACTACACCAATACAGTAGTATGCCAACCCAACATGAATACGCCACCCAACGACTCCGAAGCGTAGCGCTGCTATCCGGCCACACATCATCCTTACCACTAGCGCAACATCATAAATGAGTACTTCGAGGTGTAACTATTAATAGTATATGTATAGTAAGTACTACTGTAGTCCTAGTAGTACGTAGTGTACATAGTAGTTACTGATATGGGCATCCTCTACTCTCGACGCATCGTAATTGCTCCTAACGTGACATATTTCAACTGTTATAAAAAGACGGTTGTACCCGGTAAGACACTCATAAAAACCAAAATTGCTCTCACACTACATGCTGTCACCACGCTGTTAGTTTGTGCACCCCAATAAATACTAGTACTACTACGTAGTATACTAGTACCCTGTATGTACTATGGTGTTGTTGTGTTAATGTTCCCAGGTAAACGACTAGTATTTGTTACGTCCACGCCAAGAGCTTCTCCAACGCTTCCAAGTCGTCCACGGGCGCCTCTTCGATCTTCTTCTCGTAGTAGCTTTCAATGAACGCCAGATCCATCTTGGACTTGGTGTCGTACACAAAGTTGATGGCCGCGCCCTTGCGCCCAAACCGACCCGTGCGTCCAATGCGATGCAAATACGTTTCCGGGTCCTACGATATTCGTAACCAATTATAAATATTAGTATATATAAATATAACTCTCCAAATACAAATACAAAACCAAATACCCCCCAAAAATAATTGTATCCATTTCATATATAGATAACTCTCCAAATACAATACCAAATACCCCCCAAAAATAATATTTATCCATCTCAAGGAGGGGGGCGACGAGTACTGTAGTAGTTAGTAGGCTCTTGAAAAAATCCAATTCTCCCATCCATTTTACCAACCAATAACAACAACAGCGGTCTCGTGAAGTCGTTCGTACCGGGTGTCCTTCTCGGTTCACAGGAATGTCATAGTTGATCACCAGAGATACTCCCATCACGTCAATACCTCGTGCCAGCACCTATACACATACACAGCATCGTCATATCGTCCATCTCGGGATGTTTCTTCGTACGTTGGTCGTGATAAGCACTTTGGTCGTGCCGAGTCGAAAGTCGTCCAGCACCTGGTCGCGCACCTCCTTGGCCATGTCCGCGCCATGCAAAATGCCCACCTTGTGCCCCTTTTCCCGCATGTTGGCCGTCACTTTTTTGGCCGTTTCGCGCGTGTGCACAAAGATCACGCTCTTGCCCACGTTCAGCAACCCAAACAAGTCGCTCAGCACTTCCGCCTTTTGGTTCTGGCTCTTGCAATCGATCCAAAATTGTTTGATTTCATCCAGGGACAGCCGCTCCTTCTTGACCATGATCGTGTTGTGGTTGGGAACCATCTTCTCGGCGAATTCGCGCACGTCGTCGGCGTACGTGGCAGAAAACAGCAAGATCTGGCACGCTGGGTTCTTGATCATCCTGGTACAATATATATGATTTTAGAGGCGGCTATGTACGATATATATATATATAATATATGTACAGATATAATATACATATATTATATACATATATTATATACAAATATTATATACATATATTATATACAAATATAATATTATATATATATATAGAAACGTACTTTTTGATGGCCAGCGACCGGTCGCGCATGCCACTTTCGTCAATCATGACGTCGGCTTCGTCCAATACAAAAATCTACACAAAACGTATCGTCGGTATATGGGAGTTGTTATATTACACATAAGGTAGTGAACGAATAAAAATCAACAATTCGACCTCCAAAACATGATAAAATACAGATGCGATATGCACATGTCAAGTAGAAACGATATCGGAATATTGTGCTTTCCAGTGAAATTTCATTGTGTTGTGGTTTCTCGTTGGTATTTAGATCGGTTTGATTGGCTACTTTAGATGAGCTCAAAATTATTAGCCAATCAAAACCATCTCAATGAAATTCAACAACCAATCAGATCGATTGTGGATCGGTTTGGTCGGCGCGATTCGATTGCACCCCCTCCCCAAATTTGTATCAAATCGACAATATAGAAAATGACATTTCAAATTGTAGAAATGACACTTCAAATCGTAGATATAGACAATTAGAATGATAAAAAGATGTAAGAGATCGCGTACCTTGAGATGTGTGAGGTCGAGCGTGCGCTTCTTCACAAGCGACTCGACGCGCCCGGGTGTCCCGACCACGATTTGCGCCGTGATGTGCTGGCCTTTCTCGACTTCGTTGCCGGGAATGGCGAGGAAGGTCTCAATTCCGCAGAACGATCCCATGACGGTCACCACGGCCATGATTTGACGCGCCAGTTCGCGGGTCGGCGCCAAACACAACGACTGCACGCGCTTGGTCGTGTCTTTCGTGGCGCGGTACAACATGCCGAGGACGAACGTGGCGGTCTTGCCACTGCCGCTTTGAGCTTGTCCGATCAGGTTCTCTGGAGGTCTACCTCACGGTTATATATATGACGACATGACGAAGGCATCGTTCGTACTCGGTCAAGATCATGGGAAGCGCGACGGTTTGGATCTTGGATGGTTTGCTGAACTTCATCGCGTACACCCCCTTGAGGAGGTTTTCAGGCCTGTGAAAGGGTTAGCTGCATGAAGCAAGCGCCACTCGATAGCCACGTACAAGTTGAGTTCTTCGAAGCTGACGGCGGAAAACAAGTGCGAGTTGGGGTTCGATCGGACAATCTATGTATCGAGTGAGGGTGGAAGTATACTTTACGACAACATACGTCCAAGGTCGCCGTGTATTCCTTGTCGGCATCGAGGCCCTGTCCCATCGCCATGATGTAGTCCAACGAGTGCGAGATTTCCTCTGGTTGATTGATGCACATGAGATGGACACTTAGAGCAACTTGGTAATATGAACCATGTACCTGTCGCAAAGACATCCACAGGGGCAGCAGGCGGCGCCACTGCCGGCTTCTCTTCATCGGCGGCAGCCACTTCAGGAGCGGGGGACGACATCGTGGGGATGGACGCTTTGTTTTCAAAATGCCGGTGCCCACTCTTTTGCACCATGAATGAAGGTCATTTCGTCCAATCCACAGTGTTTATTCTGAATCTTTACTGCTGATTGGCTGAAATATCGTCCAAATCGCACAATATCTGCACTTTCCGTACAGTGTACCATTACGGTATACTACTGACAATTGTCTGTCCAATCCACGATCTGTATTTCCAAGGTCGACCGTGGATTGGCTATAATTCGCGCATGGCATGGCATGGCATGTACAATACTGTACGGTACACTCCTCGAATCAAAAATTCATCTGTTTTTTTCGTTGCATTAGGCGGTGGCGTAGAACTTGAGCTGGCAGTCCTCCCCTCCTGCAATGAACGTCCCAAGAGTAGTTAGCCTCGGGCAAGACACTACAAACGATGAGGCACATACCACTGACGAACGCAGGCTTGGTGTTGGGCAACCAGGCCACATCCAGGGCCTTCCCGGTGTGTGCCGCCAGCGTGAAGAGCGGGATGGAGCTGCGGGAGTCCCATAGTTTGACGGCGCCGTCATACCCCGACGAGACAAACTGATGTGCGTTCAAAGGCGACCACTCGACGGCGCTGACCCACTGCTTGTGCGACGTGAACGTTGCTTGCACCAACGTCGTGCCGGCCTTTCCCGCGCGAGGATCCCACAAGCGAATGTGGTTGTCTGGGTGGGCGCTGAGAATCGTGCCTGTACTCGACACACTCATGTCACTGAGGGTACTACTGCCAGTCTACCGAGGCAAATATCACACATGAGACCCCCCTTCCTTCATTGGTTCAAAACGCTTCCAGTCCTGACTACTACCCACCATGGTTTGCGTGCAACGTTCGGTGGTGAGATCCCACAGCTTGATCGATCGATCCATCGACCCCGAGTACAACACATGTGCTTGATGGGCATCCACGGCCACCGCGAGCACCGCCGCCGTGTGCCTATATATATAGCAATCCCGAACCCATGGTTATGTTTTCGTTTCAGCTGTATCCAATGCGCACGCACCCTGGCAGGATGGTTGACGCTTCTTGCTGGGTCACTTTGGCCTTGGACGCGCCGTTGGCGCTGGTCTTTTGCTTCTTTGTTACGGAGGCGCCGCCGCGGTCTTGATCCTCGTTGTTGTCGTGTACTGCGGCGGCAGTAGGCACAGACCATACGCGCACTGTGTTGTCCCAGCTGCCCGTGACCACCTTCGTACCAACATATCAATTCGAGTTGGTCGTGCCACGACCAGGATATGATGCACCTGTTGGTCGTGCACGGCGACCGCATCCACGCTGTTGCCGTGGCCGCCATTCACGCCGAGCAACGCAAGCGACTTGGTCGTGGCGTCCCACGACCACACTTTGGCCGTCAAGTCTTTGCTTCCCGTGACAATTACATCCTCGTAGATCGAGATCGACTTGATCACGGTGTCGTGCGCTGCAACACAAAATATCAAACCATGGTTAACCAAATTGAAACCAAGATGAACCCAATTGAATGCGTTGGAGGTAACCTAATGTAGTTCATTCAGCGCACCTTTGACAGAGCCCAATAACTCGCCCGACTGAGCAAACACGCGCAGAATCCCATCGTAGCAGCCAGTCACGATCACCCTGCAATACATGATCATTATTCATGATCTATTAACAAAACGAGGCCGACTACAGACAGGGCGACGTACCCGTTGTAGCTGCTGACGGCACTGATCCAATCTGGGTGGTTCTGCGACTGCGACTCCTCTGGTTCCAAGTGCGCTTCCACGTACTCGAGCGTGAGCACGGCTTCGTCCGTCAAGTGGTTGGTCACGACATACTTCTCCAAAGTCGTGCGCAGGAACGTGTTTTCGACGAGGAAGTCGAATGGCTTGGGCGTTGCCGTGTTGAGCAAGTGGTTGACGACTTGAGACAATCCCGCGCGCGCCAGCTTGATCGGCACAGCGAACGGCGTCTCTGTGACGCGGATCGCCGCATTCTTGGTCACGAACTTCACTCGGATCTACACGCATCGCACCTTTAGTCTCCACATTCATGCGGCTCGACCTACCTGGGCGCCTTCGTCGAGGGACATGTTGTTTGCGTTCAAGATAATGCGGCTCGATTGATTGTTGGTTAGCGCGATGCAATTCCACGCACCAATCAAATGGCGCGGGCACCATTTCCGGATAATCCACACTCCGGATATTCGAGGATTGATAACCGGACGTGCCTGTTCGCCAAAGATCGATATACTGGGGGTTTCAATTGCCAGCCAATCAGCGACGACGCTGCACGAGGATGGCCACGGTTACGTTGCGAGGACGCATTTGAATTGTTCACGCTGTGGAAATGGAACAATAAATAGGTGGTAAAGGTTGTAGGAGACGGTGTAGTGTGCTTTTTGCCACCACCACAATACCATCCCCACCTACTGTATTACCTCTCATCCTCCGTCGACGACAAAGATATTACTCAACAGAGCAGACGAACACACACGATAACTGCACCAGCATTCCTCTATCCAACTACGATGATGCAGCTACATTTAAAGGAGATGGTTCACCAAGACAACCTTGTTTTAGCAGGTGGAATCGTCGGCAATCACTCGACCAGCAGCAGCACGATCCGCGTGAAGGCGCCTCCCAACGGCGGGCGATGGTCCGACCACGAGCACAAACTGTTTCTTCAAGGCATCGAACTATACGGCAAGGACTGGCGTCGCATTGCGCGGCTCGTGCAGACGCGCACGACAGTTCAGACACGCAGTCATGCCCAGAAGCATTTCGATCGTATGGAAAAAGAGCGACGAGAAGACCGATTTCTGCTGGCGGAACGGGCCGCGAAAGCTGACTTCATAGCCCGAAAGGCATCATCACCCTCCGTGGACACCTCATCGGTGATGACCAAGAAGCGCACTCAATCTGCACCACCCAAGAAAACGACATCAAACACCAAACCGCAGTCCTCGGAGTTGCTCAGCAACGTCACGTTCCCGTCGGCGCCGCACCCGCCACTGGCCATGATGAAAACCAACTTTGGTCAAACCGCACCTCGATTTCTGGACGACCACATGTACCGATACCTTCACGGAATCACCACGAAACCGGTCTTGGTCCATGAATTGCCGCCTGCACCGACGTTGGAGGAGTTTGGGTTGCCACCCCCCAACCCAATGGAATGCAGCGTGTTGGACTACATTTCGTTTGACGACGAAGACGAATCTACACGTCCAGACGTGGAATATCTGTTTGAAGCGATGCCAGCCTCTGATTTTTATTCGATTCTGGACGAGGCCAAAGGAGGACCGTCATCATCCACGACCAACCACCTTCATCAGTCAGCCAACGACGAGAGTGTGAACTTTACGAGCGAAGGCACCCCCCTCACCCGGTCCAACACCCCCCACGACCACCCCGTGATAACGTACGAGCCGTCGATTTCGCCCGTTCGACAGCAACGGGGGCTCAGTTTCCCCCGCCCGATTCGAATCGACGCAACCCACAATTCGTCTGTCATGAACAGTATCTACGTCGAATAAATACATCACAACACGGGGCTATTTTATCATCTGCACGTTCAACTACTTGTATCGACTCAACAATTACCAATACTCGGTACACCCAAATTTCACTATTTTTGGGAAACAGCCTCCAACCAGTCAAGTTGTTGGTTCCCCCCGCGGGAACGTCGCCAGGTGCACGTTGTGATGGTTTGTTGGCTGGGGGGCCGAGTGCAGAAATTGGTCCCGTCGAACGGACTGGTCCAACGCAGTGCCGCCACCACATCCACTGGTGCTGTCGGCGTATTGCTGTTTGGTATGCCGCATGCGCTTCTGGAGCGACTCGAGCGCCTTTCGCCGCATGAATGGCGACTGCGACGGGATACCTTTGATCGTCGTAGTAGCTTGAGTGGGTTGGTCAAATTGCATTTGCAGTTTGCCACGTCGAGATGACGGCAATGCAGCTGTCGGCTCTTTCGTTGTGGAGGCGGTACGTCCTTCCGTTGTTGGCGGGGGTGGAGTGGGCTCTCGAGGTAAAGGAGGTGTTGTTTGCATGTACGCGTTCAACTCCAGCAAATACCTAAAATTTCATGATATACGTGCAAGTTGCTCACAAATACGACGACGTACCGCTGCCGTTCGTCCATCGACAAGGCGGAAATGTCGGTAGGAACGAGAGACGCCAGCGTCAAGGCCCGTTTGGCCATGGCTGCTGGGTCCTGGCGCCCTTTGGTTTGCACAGCCGACGATGTTTTGCATCGTTGGAGAAGGTCCGTGGGGCTGGCAATGGCCCCAAGATGGGGGGCTGTTTGGGGAGAAAACTCCCCTCGAAGATGATTTCGAGGGCTCATCGCAAGGGGGGTGGCATTGCTGGTGTTGGGACTGTCGAACTGATCGTTCGTTTTGACCATCGATGTGCCTCGAATATCCTAACGGTGCACTAATCAAATCCAAGGGGTCTATGCCAGAACAAGTAGGAAGTTGTACCATTGGAGGAACGCTACTATCGTGGTTTACTGACGAACATGGATCGCCCATGGTGTTGTAGCACACGAATGCATCCATGCAGTGCGTCCACGCCTGCTGTTGTTGGGCTTGCAGTGTCTCATGGGTGCGGGAAAACGCGGCTCGCTTGGTCGCAAAACGCCGTCGCAGCCGGATGAGGGCGTGGTCGGAGGTCGCGGACGTGTCCATGTCGACCTTGAGCACGTCCTCCATCCGTTTGAGCCCGAGACATTTCAGCACGCACTGCCACTTGTTCCAGTTGATGTTTTCGCGTAAACTCGTGAGGGTATTGGCATAGTTTTCAATCAGCTGGTGTACCGCGTGGCGAGAAGGCACTTTGGTCACTGATGGGGGAGTGTACATTCCGTTGCTGGCGTTGTACTGGTGGCTCAACAACGACCGCGGCAACATCAGCATCGAGTCGACTATACTACTACCACCATCATTCAATGGTTGCACAGCCTGGTTGTTTGGAAGGTGGTGGAACGAGGGAGACAACCGGTTGGGGTGGTGACCTTGATGGTGGTGATGACGACTAGGGTCTGGATTGTACATGCCTGTACCTTCCAGGACGTAATTCGAAAACGTCGTCTGTCCAGAACTCGCATCGTCGCTATTATCCATTCCCATGTGCTCTGGGTTCCACTCAGCGTCTCCTACTTGCGTGCTGTTGTTTCGCATGCTTGGGCGAGCCACGACCCCACTGGCCACGACCCCACTGGCCACCACCACCGTGGGGACTTCGGCCGTAGTGTATGTGACACTTCGTCGAGGCAGTAGCTGTCGAGCCTCAAACACTCGTAGCTGCGGCGGCGGAGGTTGGGGATCTGGCAGCAAAATGTCCACGTCCGGCATTGACAGCGTAATCTCTGGGATGTTAAGTGCAGGGGCAAGGGGGAGTGGAGTGGGAGTGCGTGACGTGACGGGCGTTGATGATACGGGAGTGGGCGATTTGGACTGGAGCGGCGCGGACGATTCCTCGGGGGGTAGTTGAGGGGATGAGGACCTCAGGGGGGTCGCGTGCGTTGGGCTGGTCGGTCGTTCGTCCGGTGTGTCTGTGGTGTGTTGGAGGTTCTTGCACAATTCAGCAAGCTCGGATTGATGGATAGACACGAGGCGTTTGCTCATGCGTTTTGCCGACACTAGTGACCACGTCGACTTGAGAATCTGCTTCACCGCTGACACATCGTGGTGGTTTTTGTTTTGATTTGTCTATTGGTAGTCCGATGGTCGAGGTTAGAAGTAGTGAGCAAAACCATCATTAGGGAAAACTCTACCGTCTTGGCGTCGCTGGACACTGCTAAACTTTTGTACAACGACTTGATCGTGCGCTTGGCTTCATGCAGCAAGTCGTCTTTCTCGTCCAGGAGCTTGCCAAATTTGGACTCTGCCACCGTGGCAATGCGGATGACCTCGGCGCGGTGTTTTTTCACCAGTTCGTGTGCTCGTTTGTCGTATTGGTCGATAATTTGCTGTCGAAAGAGGCACATCGCATCGATGAACTTGCGCTTGAGGATGGCCTTTTCCGCGTCAAAGCGCTGTTGGAGCTGGACAATTCGGTCGCCCTGAGTGAGTTCCGGGTCGACGTTGGCAGGTGTCGAATCCATGGCTCGCATGGTGGCATCGAGCGCCGCTTCGGCACCGCCCAACTGGGGCGACATCCTTCCTTCGAATGGGCGAGTGCTGGACAGATCATGCGACGACACGCTGCCCTTCATGCTGGTCCGCCGACTGCCAGTAGAAGCGTGCTGCGTGAGCCTGACCACGGCGTCGTCGTACACAACACCATCCGGCACTTCAACTTGCACGGGAAGTCCGTTTGGTCCAGTCATTGTAATCGACTTGCCTACGTATATATGACCATGTATTGGAGAATCAAGATCGATCGACAACGTAGTAGGGTACATAACTAACGTACGCCGAGGCACGGTACTCGAGAGCATTTCCGATGGAGGCACCACGGACGCCATCGCATGGGCGACACTGCCCTCCGTGAACGCTTTGTTGATCATGCCGCTCAATTGATTGTGGATGTGTTGCTCTTGGATGCTCTGTCGTCGCGTCCGGGGGGCGCCGTGCCACACCTCGACCTGCTGCGTCGGCTGTGGGTGCTTGGCTTCGTTTGGTGAGTTACGGTCCCCATCGTCACCATCGTTGGTCGTTTCAACTTTGTCGTCCTTCTCCTCTTCGTCGTCATCGTCACTGATGTTAGGTCCGCTGGTTGCTATATCGTCGCCATCGTCACCGTCGTTTTCCCCACTGTCGTCATCGCAATGATCGTCATCAAATGTGTCCAGCTCAACATCCGACGTGCATGAATTGAGTTGTGGCGCTGTGTTTTGCGGGACCAATGCTGTAGCGCTCTGGGCAGCGGCCAGGGACGCGCTGTCGTTCCGACCTCGGGTCAAGACGTCGCGGTCTTCTCCGTGCTCTGTGAACCCGTGGTGCCCCGCCGCCAAGACGCTGTCAAAATGTTTTTTCATGTCGGTGCGTTGCCGCTCCAGCGCAAGTTTGTGCAGTTTCTGGGACTCCCCCAGCTGGTCCTTGAGCTCCTTCACTTTACCCTTCAAGTCATTGATCTCGTGCTCGTACTCGTGCGCCACGCCGTGCAGTTGAACGCTCTGACGCCGCGCCGATTCCTCCGCCTTCTTGGCCATTTCGTCGTGGGCCGCCGACAACAGAGCTTGGGTTTCGGTGAGCTGCACATGGGTGTGCACGTCTCGCAGGGTCAGCTCCTGCACCTTCGCCGCCAAGTCTACAAGGCCATCATCGTTGAGCCGTAGTTGCATTCAACCGAGAATGGAAGGCATTGCGCAACAACGTCCAGTCCAGAGGGCGCAAATGCAAATGCAAACTTGACAAAACCACATTCAATGGCGGCATACCACTGGCTCGTTTGGCGGCGTCGCGCATGGTCCCTTCCAAGACGTGGTGAACATTCAAGAGCGTCATGTACTTTTCCTTCCAGTGCGCGACACTTCGCTCCTGCTCGTCGCGTTTCGCTTCTTCGTTGTTGAGGACAAACAATTGCTGCTTGAGCCGGGTGATCTCGTCTACTTTGCCGTGCAAGAGCGTCTTGAGCCGCTTCGCGTCGTCTTCTCGTTCTTTCACGACTTCTGCGATCGACGTGTACATGTTGGACGTTTCGGAGAGTTGGCCCATCAAGATGGCTTTTTCATTCTGTAGTCGCTGGACTAACTTGGCGGCATCGTCGGAGAGACCAGTCGTGGGAACGAGGATGGCGCCATGCACCGCCGCTTTGGACGAAGGCGCCAAGAGGGTGCTGCTGGGGGAGGTGTGGCGGTCCGCCGACTGCATGTCTTGCAGCGTTTTCACGGTTTGGTGGAACAAGTTAGTGAGCTTGCGCATCGCGGGGGTGCTTTCCATGGCCCAGTCGTCCACAACCGATTGTGAATCCCTCGACATCAGCACTTTGACTTCGTCCATGTCCTACAATGGTCCAGTGTGAATCTAAATTGGGCTATTATTGTGGTAGATGGGGGTGCAAATATTGACGATGCTACAGTATGGCGAAAAGGGGGAAAGGTAGAGACATCATATGGCACCTTGGTAAAGAGGCGCTCGTTGAACCCAGACGCCATGGTGAGGGACTCGTGGGTGGCCATGAGGATTTCGCCCACTTTCCACGTCAACGGGGCCATTGGATCACCCGAGTCGAACGACGCGACGCTGGCTTTGGCCATGGATTCGTCAAACGCGAGCATGACCTAGGCAAGTATTCAACGGGGAAGAAATAAATCCCCACCACGGGATCGTACATGATCGACGCGGCCTTGAATCGACTTGAGGGCCACCAATTCCTTTGACAACACAACCGCTTTCTCGTTCGAGGTGGTGGTGGTGGTGGTGGTGGTGGTACCTTCCAACACTCTCCCAGAACTGTCGTTTTCGACGTCGCCTCGCCCATCGTCCGATAGGAAGTCCACAATGCTCCGAGACGACAAGTATCGATGGGAAACCATCAACTGAGGCTCGGGGGTGTCTGGTTTCATGTCAAAATCGTGGCTGTGATCGAATTTGCTGCGCTGGGGCTTTGCCTTGAACATGTGCAGCCGTGACCTACTGGGGGGTAATTTCCCCACCAATGGGGCCACGGGATGCAGTGTCAATGGGGGCTTTTTCCCCAGACTCGGCAGCGGTGGCGGCATCCGGGTTTTCGTACTCCACTGTCGACAGTTTCAGAGGTGATACTGTAGTCTTGAAATGTGAAACCGACAACCGTTACATGTTGCAGTTCACAAATCCGACCTGCAACGACCAACAGTGATGGTCGAGTAAATGGGGGTTGTATAAGCTATCCTAGGGTCATGGGGCTATATATCTTCCTAGGTTGATCTATCGGATGCGGAGAGGAGACTTGGGAGGACTGCGAACGGGGCTTTGCGGGGGGCTGTTGGATAGTTTTTGAGCCACCAAGTAGTCGCCTTGGGGGTTGATCGTCATCTTCTTGTTGGGCGCAGGTCGGCCCACTGCTTTCCCGGGCATGAGCAACGTGAGCGCGCCTTTCTTCATGTTGGTCATGATGCTGCCTTCGGACTTGTGTTTCAACGGCGAATTCTGGGCCACGTCGTGCTTGGTTTCGTCGCTCGGCAAGTCGGCCGCGCTGCGCATAAAGTCCTGAACTTCCTCCATAAAGTCCTGTTGAGGGCCAATCACACTTCCAGGGCGACACAGGCGCAGCCACCCGATGACTTCGCGGGCCGTGAACTGCTCGTGCTTCATCATGTAGCACCCGATGCACGTCCCCGTGCGACCCAACCCGGCCTTACAGTGCACGGCCACGGCACCCGGCGTGCGCTCGGACGCTTCGATGAACTGCTTGAGGATGTTCATGGGGGCATTCGTTCCGTCGGGGTAGTACAAGTCCAGGTGGTCAATACCAGCAGTGACAAACCGATTGCGGTCGTAGCACTTGTCGTTGAGGCGCACGACGAGCGTCACGTTCATCTTTTTGAAGTACGGCACATAGTGTTCCGGCGTGAGCGTGATTTGGCCATTCTTGTTGGAAAACTTGTTGTGCGGACCGGCAAACGCGATAAATTTGGGCGACACCCAGCTCAGGTCGCCATTTTCGACCTTTTCGTAAAACTGGTACTCGTCCACGTTGAACGTGCTCGTGTTGATGTACCGGTTGGCCTTGGCTTTCTCGAGCCCGTCGAGACAATTTTTGATGTTCAAGTCGTACGAGCACTCAAAATCCGTCGCGTCATGGAACGGGGGGAACCGGAGGTCTTGGAACGGCGCCCACGCCGCCGCCGCCGTCATGTCCTTGAAGAGGACCCCCCAGCACCCGAGCAAGCACACGGCGTTGGCGCGGCGCTGGCCGTTGGTGCTAGAGAAGAGGCACACGCGGGTGTTGGCCCCGAGCCGACCCGCCTGGGCGAACGCGTCCTGGACAATATCATGGAAGCGTACGACGTGGCCAATGTTGAGCGGGCCAAAATCGAGGCAGTAGTTCCAGTAAATGAGCTGGTTGTCGATGGAAAAGTAGAGCATGTCCTCGGTCGACTTGGGGGCCGCGGATACGGACGTGTAAAACAGTTTGTTGGCGACGAATTCGACGAGAACGGGCGCGGCCCCTCGGGCGGTGGGGCTGGCGTCGGGGGAAGCGCGAAAGAGGGCGCTCATGGGAGAAGTCGAATTCGAATGTGGGGGTGGCGGCACGAGAGGCGGGAGCTTCCAAATGGTTGCAAATGTCGGTTGAACGTGATGATGGCCCCAGAACGAAAATGAGTCCTGCGTGATCTGGGCGGCACGACCATTGGCCACTGAGGTTCGTGCAGCGCCCCAAAATAGATATGTAGCCCCTTAAACAACTTTGATATGAAGGCTCAATTGCGTTACACCATAGTTTATAAATACAAGGAAACAATGTGCATTAAGACTACACATAACATTATACTAGTACATAATATTAGTACACGCCTACTACAGTAGTACGACGGCTCATAGGTGGACTTTGTCGACGCTAACGATGGAGAGATACGAGAGCGGCGGTTTGGAAGCCATGAACACGCGGGCTGGAGTAAATTTTTTAGCGCGCAGTGGGTGGGGGGTTTGAACGTGATGTTACCGCATTCTTGGTGGATTTGGCCTCGGTCTGACTTGCTGTGGCTACCCTACCGTCGAGGCCACGTAACGCTCGATGGCATGCAACGTGACGGCGTTCAAGGATGGGAGATCCAAGTTGACCTCGTCGTTTTGACTTTGCAAAATGAACCACTGGGGCTCGTAGTACGCTACTAGCTGCAGCAACCCTTCGAGTCCATCACTCGATAAAGTTGTGATTCGCTGCGTGAGTCTCTGGAGTAGCTGGTGCTTCATTGTTTGGGTCGTAGAGCAAGGCTGGAGTGAATGCTGCATTGGCGAAAACATTTGGTATCGAGTGGACATGCTAAATTGCCGAATGTGAAATGTTTGAATGGTTGCTCCAGGAGCCCCTTGAACGCCGAGAGCGTTCTACAGTACAGTTCCATCAGGGTTTGCTCGACCTCGTATTCAAGTTTATGGAGTGATGGTACTGACCGTCACTTGTTCGACTTGATGTATTTCCCAGTAGTTTATCCCACTTTGTGTGAGGCGACAGAGTGAGATGTTTTAGTTGTTGCATACGAAATATGAATCAAAGTGACTTCGTGCAATAATATTACCTGGCTTTAACGATCAACGTCACTAAAATCAAGGAGTGAAGGTATATCCCAGCGTGCACCCAATATATGAACCATTGTCATCACTCAAAAAATTGACAAGACGTAATCTGCGATATTTATACACCTGTATCCTTCGTTATGGATTTAGCAGCATGCATTGGAAAGCGTTCACTAATAACGTTAACGTAACTGTTATTAATAGTACTTCAGCACTGCACTTGCATTGTGGTCGGAATTCCAGAACGTCGGATTGAAAATTAAGTCATTTTATCCAATCAAACATTGGCACCGTTGGTTATCAATCCAGTCTGTCTCACGGATGATCTCGATTAATGGCACAGGCTAGTTGAAGTCACGTTTGACGTCATCACAAGTAAAACGTAGTCGTTTTTATGTTCGTCGCCACATCGCTTGCGGTTTTTTGCACGACAATATCGTTAAACGCATACGTTTAAACCACTCGAACTCGATCGGTCCGTTTAACGGTATCTGGGCGTCTTTACTCACACTGTCGGAGCAATCGAATTAAAACATATTTTTAAACAAAGATTTAAAAGAAATAAGATATCTGTATCTAAAATTAATGCTTTTAAACGTACATCCAAAGAAACATAGTATGAGACTTTGTATAGAACGGGAAGGTTCAAACCACCCGAACAAGAAAATTAAAAAGATTCGCAATGACATGGGACCAGCAGCGCATCCGTGGAGAGAACGTGCGAGTCAACGAGTCGATCACCGGCAGGGAAATGCTGCCACAACGACGGAATTGGATTGGCCATTCGACAATCTGTCCGCTCTCCATCACCCCATTACCATGACCTCCATGCAAGTCGAGTCGTGCATCTCATGCATCCCATTGCCTGTCGTCTGCGACGCATGTACGGCATCCCCATCAGAAACCGAGCTCGAGTTCCTCGTCCACCAAGTGAACCAACTTCCGACGGACGCGTTGGAAGAAATGATCTACATCGTGTCTGCCTACGAACCCCAATGGCTCGACGTGCTCGAGCGCAGCGTCGACTCCAACTTCGACGTGACTACCCTGAGTCCCTTGGCTATTGAAGTCATGCAGCACTACGTGTACACGAATCTAGCATGTTGCTTTGTGGCCAACATGGACAATAACCACACCTCCAACGACGACGACATGGACGTTGGGGCATAGTAAATCGACTGGCCAGTTCGCGGTCTTTAGCTTATTTAACTGATTTTTAAGTGTCTTATCAAATGGTCTACTTGGTCTGGGGTGTACAGTGTCGCAGGTCTCTCTCATATGCATCTCGTTGTCGAGTCCGCCAACGTATCCTCATAAGGGTAGAGTTCATTTGCCATGGGAACACCATGCTTGCCCTTTCGGAACGATCACCTTCTTCCTGCGGTTGCATTGTCAGAATAACCACACGGAACTCCCACCGACTTTCACCGTGAACGATGGCGAATGGAGCGATGGTTTCCCTTCTTTGAATGATGCCATGGCTCCCATCTCCCGTCGTCGGAGGCACACGTTCGCACACGCCATTTACATACAGAACCTGTTGAAAACCTGTATCATTACCAAGTAGTAGTACTACTAGTACTACTAGTAGTATTACTGCTGGGACTTTTGCTCAAATGTGTACGGGGGCGACGTGTCGCTCTTGGGAATGGTCGGGTGAGACGTCATGTAGTCGGCGACCATGTTTTGAAAGCGATGGATCGTCTCTTCGAACCGAAATGTCATGCGGCCTCCTTGGTACGCCCGCACCGTCACGCCTACTTGCACCCGTTCACACACGGCAAAGTCTTCGTTGTTGGTTTGGTCGTAGAATGCCCACATCTTGTCGAGTTTGTCCTTGTGATCTACATGTTTCCCGCGGAATGAGCATATCTTGATATGCTTTGGTGCCATGATCGTACCTGGCACGTCGTACACACTTGGGTGCACAAACAACTCGGCGTGCTCCACCGTCGTGGTCGGTCCTATACAATATGGACGTACACCCCCCGTCGAACGATGCAACCTTCTTCGATATATATATACATAACGTGTTACCCGTAGTTTCCAATATGACAGTAAACAACCCGTGCGGGAGCAAAAAGTAAAACGCATTGGGAAAGTAATGGTGGAACCACGCCGTGACCGTGTTCGCCCCCGTGAGCCCAGGCATCGGCGGCAGCAAGTTGATGTCCAACGGAGTGCCGCCGTTGGTGAGTGGTGACGTGGCAAACCCAATGTAGCTCCCTGTGCCCTGCAACCAACACTCCGTCAACACAAACATGAGTGTGACGATGATGGTCACCACCTGCGCGCGATGGTGGTCGTCAACGCCAGACACATTGCACAGCTGCGGATGGACTGCAGGGAGATGATAGTACTCCATAAAGTTCTCGGCCAGCAGTTTCCAGTTGCATTTCACAGACACGGTCGTGCTCTTGAACGACACGAGCTCATCAAACGGGTAGTCGTGCAACGAATGTGTCACGTCGCCCAAGTACGTGGCCAGGGGCGGGGCGTCACCGCTCACGTTTGCGTAAATGAACGGACCGAATGTGTCGACGCGGACAGGAAGCAATCCGTAGTCCTTTGTGTTGAAGTTCTTCACGAAGTCTGTGGAAAGCGCCTGCATGATGGACGTTCATGATGGAGGGTCCATGGGGGAACGAAGGACAAGGTACCTGTTTCAGCGCATCCGATGGCTCGGACTCGTTTCGTGGAAGCACTCCTTCCGATACACCGTCTCCTTTGAACATCGGGGTCGCGATCAGACGACCGTCCAACGCATACCCCCATCGATGGTATGGACAACTAATGACTGAAAACCGTCCATTCTTCGACACCAATTGCGCTCCGCGATGACGGCATACGTTGTAGAACCCTCGAATGACATTGTCCTTTGCACGAGTCACAAGGATGGGTTGTCCGGCCGCTGTACTCACAATGGTGTCCCCGGGTTGCCGAAGTTTCTACATGCACGTTAGCCCAAAGGGGATAGAACTCCTCAACGCACCTCAGTATATCCAACCACTTGCCAACTCTTGGCAAACAAAAGCTCTTGCTCACGCTCGTAAAATGCTATCGACGTGTATGCTTCAGGATTGATGGTGGTCGCTTCCAGCACTGGCTTGCGCAGGGACGAGTAATAGCTCTCTTGCTCGAAGCGGTGGCTGTGCAGGTCATTGCCCTCATCTGCCAGGTTAGCGCGCAGAGTCTCCAGTCGGGAACTGGACGTCGCATGACGAACCCCATGGCGGCGGATCAATGAGCGGATCATTGCGGCGACGAGGGGGCAAAAACGAGCACTGCAGCATTGAAATATTCCGTTGCAGAGGTTTATTCTCGCCAACGATTGGCTGATGTGGATCTTGTGCAGCCTTTCCTAACGTTACTTGAAGTTGGTGGCTTCCGGATAATAATTGATGTCATCCGAATGGTTAAATATTATTCGAAGAGCATACAAATTCACATATAACATTGTGATTATTGTTGTAATCACAAAGAAATAGCGCGCGAAGGTACGCACTTTTCAGTTTTGAACGAAGTGAGCTCGATGTCGCGATCTACAAGGACAGTACAAACCGAGGAAGACGCGTCTCTGCGTACCCGCATCAACATGGACGAGGATGTGTCCACGAGGAAGACAAAGACTCCACGCGTGGCAACGGCAAGTCGACCGGCGAGGCGAACGTTTATTGCGGTAGTGGCGGAAGGAAAATGCCGCGAAGTTGGGATCACCGGAATCGATATATCCGCACCTCATGAGCTCTTGATCTCGAACATGGTCGACACGCATACGTTCATGGAGACGATATCGCTGCTCGATGCCTACCAGGTACGTAATCAAAAGGAAAATGTCCATTCAACACGTATAGCCCGACGAAATTCTGCTCGTCGAGACAAACAAGGCGAGAAGTCTGCATCAAGAAATTCGAAAGCATTTCAAGAACAGCATGTGTCGAATTGTTCCCATCGCACGCAAGTATTTTGAGTACGATTGTCTCCATGGTACTGTACATTTGAAGTAACCAGTATTTGCAATAGCCAAGCCAAAGGGGCAGACGATTTGAAACGAATTGCCATGAACTGTCTCGATATGAGCCTCCTCAAGGTTGACTTCGATTGGTCATTCACCACTAACTCTGATCTCGTAGAACTACATTGTCATGGGGTCGGTTGCTTGCATGGTGAAATATGTCGAGTTCATCCAGGGGGTCTATATTGCACAAAAGACGATTAAGGTTGTGAAACCCTTTGTTAAGTTGCGCAATTAACTGCGTTTAGGCCGTTGTCAACACAGCATCACCAGTGTTATTGATGGATTACAACACTGTTTCCTCCCTTGAACTCATGCGTGGGGCGAAAAGCGGCTCAACTCAGCAAGTACGTTGACGACGTATGGTTAGTTTTCCATCTAATTTTTAGTTAGTCCTTGGTTTCGAGAATCGATTACACTCAAACGTCAGTTGGAAAGCGCTTGTTACGAACTACGGTATGAGGTTATGGGGTGTGTACAGCGTTTGCTTACAGCACTGTAGATTTTACGACCAAATTCAGATCTCGAGACGATGTACTGTACAGTTTACACATACTTCTGAACGAGCTTGTGTTGACAATGGTACAGCAATGGGCGTCAGCAAGTCGTTGGAACACTTCTTGACCATCCATCGACATTTTTCGATGCCAGAGAAATCCTGCCCGAACTTCCCGACCTCGAGATACTCATGGTAACGCAAACTGCTTGGATCTGTTCTCAAATTCGGACCAGGCCCAACTGGTCATTGTTCCAAAGTTGGCGACAACTCGGGTCTTCGAACAAGGCGTTGCAAGCATTGTCGCCTTAAAAAGCACGTTGGACGCGTTGCCTCGTTTGAAAACGTGTTTACAATCGATCGACTCAAACTCGACGCTCCTCAAAGCAATTGTCTCGAGGTATACACGTAAACTTGCATATGCATTGTGCCTCGACTGTTGCCGTGTAGCTTACAACACGAGGAATTCCGCCAAATCCAAGACTCTATTCGCAAAGTCATTGACCCCAAGTACGTCGTGAGCATTTGAGACAACAAAATCATGTACACATTCGCGTGGATTGTAGCTCGCACTGGAAGAAATCCGCTCGTCACATGAAAATTCAAGGCAGTTTTGCGGTGAAAAGTGGCCTGGACGGCAAATTAGATCTCACTCGATCGACGTTCGTTGATATTATGGACGCCATTCATCAACAAGTCGTGGAGTACCAGGAGAAATATGCGTTCAACGTCAAATTGAATCACAGGTAACCACAAACAATTACTACCCCTAATCTACTCGGACCTAACATGGAGGCGATTACAGCGCGAGCCGCGGCTATCATTTGTCCATAGCCAATTTGAGGCAAGACATACCTCCGATGTTTGAGGAATGCGTGAAATTCAACAAAAGTACGTCCATGGAATGAATGTTTTGGTATATATGTATGCATGCTCATGAATGAGTAGGCATTGCGTGCACAACGAAACAGTTTAGCTCACTCAACTCCCGAGCGACCGAATGCATTCAAGAGGTTTACGCGCTGTCGTACGGAATGATCCAAAAGTTGCTCGATGAAATTCGACCGCATGCAGCAAGTTTGTATTCGATGGTGGAAAATATCGCCACGTTGGACATGCTGCTGAGGTTTGACAACTGCTCCACCAACTTCCAGCTGGGAATTCATCACACACATTGTAGCTTTGCGAATCTTGTGGCATTGTCCCCCGCTGACCAACCATGTTTGCTTTGGACACTAGTGAAAAACCTCAAATTTGATGTAGACACTTGCCCCGAGGTCACTGAACACGGCTGCCTCTCCATAAACCAAGGGCGGCATTCCCTGATCGAAACAATGATGCAAGACCAACCATTTGTGCCTAATGATACTGTGCGCATGCTAGGTGTAATCCCTTGATGTACTAAGACTCTTGTAGCACTTGGACGTCGTTGTGACTTTCAATGGTTTGGTCGTCCCTACCTGGTACTTGTTTAATGGCATTGTTCTAGTTGTCACTGGACCAAATTGCAGCGGAAAGTCGACGCATTTAAAAACGGTGGCTGTGATCACAGTGCTTGCCCACATTGGCTGCTACGTCCCTGCCGTGGAGGCCAGTATTGCCCTGCGTGATCGCTTGTTCACAAGATTTGGCACGTCCGACGACATGCAAGAAAACGCGAGCACGTTCACCGTGGAAATGCAAGAAACAGCCTTCATCCTTGACAATTGTACTTGTCGGTCGTTGGTGTTGATGGACGAATTGGGGCGAGGAACATCCAACGAAGAAGGGTTTGCAATTGCTTGGAGTGTGTCGGAATCGTTGATGAAGAAGGGAGCGTTCTGCCTCTTTGCCACCCATTTTCATGGCTTGCGCGAACTGTCTGAACTGTATCCCAGTTGCAGCAATTACCATTTGCAAGCGACGACAACAGACAAGGTTTGTATGACTCTACCGATCGTTCAACCCTAACAAGTGGTATGTAGAACATTTTGCGATTCCAGTACAAGCTTAAAGACGGACCTACGGAGCTCCGACATGGATATGGCTTGATGATGGCCAAAGTTTGCGGACTGCCCAAATCAGTGTGCGAGTTGGCATCAAGTCTCCACCCGACGGTTGCTTTAAGAGAGGAAAACCTGGTGGTGAAGACGGTCGATGATACCAGCGACCTCCAGAACATGTTGTTGAAGCGCTTGATGGCCCTTCGTTACTCGAACTTGGACGACAACGGTGAGTCCTATCTATGCCTTGCTTGATACATAACCTCCCATATGCACTGCTAGAACTTCGCATGCAGCTCCAACATCTTCGCGATCAATTCATCTTGGAGTGATCGCTAATCAAGTACCCACCTTGATCAACGCAGAGCTCCATCTACATTCGTCAACTTGAGTATCGCATGCACCTCATCTGTATCCACAGTCTCAACCATATCGTCAAAGCTTGTCATGCCCACCGGTACTCGTTAGTTCTCATTCAATAACTAACGTTACCTATACTTACGACGTTGCGCTTGGGGCAAGTCTTTTTGCGTGGTTGAGTAACCGATGCTTGCTTTGTGGGTAGTAACCCCTCGAACTACTAGTCGGAGTCGTTGGGTGGCGTGTTCATGCTTGCTTGATGTGATGGGGCGGCTGGACAACGCAGTTGACAAAGGAAGGAAATGCAGCCCTCGTGTAGGGTTTCCATCTTGAGGGGCAGGATGCAAGCAGCTCGTCTTGATAGTTGTGTCCATGAGTTACGAGTTGGGAATGACAATCAAGCGCTTGCGCTCCATGAGGGTGTCATGAAATGATTGATCGCGACTCCATCACGATGTCGTTCTTGTATACAGCTTGGAATCGATAGAAGGGCGCCGTGAGCCTGCCGTTAAGGACACGAGGCTCGCGCATGCCACGGACAATGTGGAACAGAATTCCGTCTCCACCAGTATCGCATGCCTCGTCCTCATCTGCGTCCGCGACCATGTTGACGCTTCTGTAACACCGCCGTTTGTACACTACGTCGACACTTCAACAAAGCCAAAATTCTTACTATAGCCTAATTAGGTTCATCAAGGATAGTCTACTTTTAGAGTCCGAGCGGAATGTGCCATACTATTTCCAAGTAAACTCTTTTGGTTTTGGTTTCTATCGTTCCGTATTTCTCCCTGGTTCAGAACTTATTTTAGGCATTTAGGCATTTGCGGCCGTCTTTTACGCGGCCACCTGCTGCTGCTCTCTGTGTCCATGCTTCGAAATTATGTAGCCCAAGGTGCAATGCGCCACACCCTTCACCTTGACACTCCAAAACGAGTGAAACCATCGACGGACACTGCGTTTGTTTGTGTCTTCTGTAGTCGTCCCTTGCCTTCGAATAGGATTGCACAAGTTCAACGTGTCTTGCTGTTTCAACACGTGGAAGATCTTTTTACCCTAAACATTCATCCTCGTTGACAGTGAATTGTATGCCGCCCAGTATAGGCTGAGGCGGCCGAACCTGCTAGAGTCGTGTATAATTTGCTAAAGGTTATAATGTTTCATAAGACCTTGGTCCAGCATAACTGTGCTTCAAGTAGTACAGTCATTGAATGCGATTGTGGAGAGAATGTATTGAGCAGGTGTCCGGATACGCGGTTCGACCAACATTCTGCCCCTTGTGATTTGGAAACTGCAAATGCAGAAACTTTTTCTCCACACGTCAAGCATTGTCGTGGGAGCGAAAGAAGATACTGCAGTCCCTGGAATATCGTCATTGCCATGTTGTTGCTACACGCTGTCGACGCCGTAGACGACATTGATGTCGCGGAATCGTTGATGGCCCTCACCAAGGGCGGTATGGTACGCGACTATGACTTGTGCGACCTCGTCGACGTCTGCGTACCGTCAGGTCCAAGCGGGTCGACCTCCTCGACGCTCCGTCACCTCACGGAACTGGCTCAACAAGAGTTCAAGTTTATGAACAGTCCCACAGGCGTCGACGATGCGTGGTCATTGGTGTCGGTGACCAAGATGGAACAAGGGCTGAAGCGAATGAAAGTGGAAGACTTAAGTTTGGATGGCCATTACCTCCGCCCCAGCACAAGTTGCACCGAAGACGACGACGACGACGACCTCCACTACCATGACACCGACCGCCAGCGAAAACTTTCTGTGTCGTCATGGTCGTCCAGCGACAGCGATTCGTACCATCTTCATGGGGACGCTACGAAGCGAAGAATCGGGAGCTATTCCCCCGAAGACCGGGCGGAGCGCATCCAGCGATACTTGGAAAAGCGAAAACATCGGACATGGGGGCGCAAAATCAACTATGGTGTGCGCAAGAACTTTGCCGATTCGCGGTTACGAGTCAAAGGTCGGTTTGTGAAGAAGGAAGACGAGGAGCTGTTGTGCCTATACTTGGGGATGACATAGCCTCATGCTCCAGCGTGTTCTTGTCTAACGCACAGACCCACCTCCCCACCTCCGCAGTTGCATCCTCGCACCGCCGCTCCATTACCCCCCCCAACCATTACTGATAGATATTATAAGAACAACCACGTAGCATTAGCGTTAAACCCATACTCATGTCACGTCAGCCGTGGTGAGCTTCCTCCGACCAAGTTGTGTAGGTTCATGTGCAGTCTAGTCGCTCTCGTCCTCACCATCGCATCGTTACATGTTCAATCGTTTCTGCATGATTATTCACCGGCAGTTACACTAGTAGTACTACTAGTAACTTTGCTCGAACGATGATCGAAATACTGGATCGACAATTTCTTCAAAACTTGAACATTGCAATCGAGTTCGTTCCCTGTCAAACCCCTGCTCACTAGACGTGATATCCCAAATACCATTGTCCCAACCAACTGAAGTGTATATACGCTTCGTCCTCCAGACTGCGTTGGTAGTAACGTTAGTAGTATCTGCATGAGACTACTACCACATTGCTTAACATGTGAATCCTTCCTGAAGATTGAAACGGTCGTATATCGTCCGGATACGATTCCTTCGTCAACTTCAACCTAAGAAATTCGTGCAATCCCCGTTTACATGGGCCATGCAGTCTTGTTGATCGGGTGAGCAAAGAACGCGATGCAGGGTCGTCTGTGCGTGTTTGGTTTCCCAGGCGTCTATGTATGCATCAATAAAGCAGGCTCTTCATAAATTTAGCCATTTCTAGGGATGATGGGTGTGGCTCAATGTACTGTTATCCGGATGACCATCGAAAGTGTAACGCCCAGTGTCGAAAGATCGGTTCGATATTTAACCACGATTCCGCCAAGATCTCCACATTTTCCGATTTTCGCGGTTCCACTACATCATGGTCAAGAAATTGCTCACGGCGGAGGAAGCTGAGGCGAAGCGACTCAAGCGCAATGAGCAGTGCAAGCAGTACCACATCAAGAACCGAGAGCGCCGACTCGCGTATAAGCGAGAGAACCACGCCAAGAACAAGGCCCACCGACTGCAAAAGATGAAGGAGTGGCGCGAGAAGAACAAAGAGCGGAGAAATGTGTACTTCAAGGAATGGTGGCGTAAGAAACGGGGTGGCAAGGACGAAGACGACCATAGCCTGGACCCAGAGTTTGACGATGCCTGTAGCGACGACAGCTCCAACAGCAGCTGCACGAGCAGCGCTAGCTCGCTCATGCTTCTCAGCGAAGTCGCGTTGAAGTGCATGCCACATGGAGCACACGGCAGTGTCAAACGTGAGCCTTTAGTCGCGCCAGTCATTGGTGACGCATGTCATAGTTGTAGTCTCCAAGGACCATAACTATTCAGCAACCAGCACCTAAGTATAGCTAGCGTACATGACAACCCATATTAACCCCATATTAACAACCCGTCAAAGTTTTACGTTCGGGGCCTTTTGGCGCAATATTAATAACTACCCGTACTATATTTATTTAGAATAATATTGCAGTCGCATATTTACATACTTCAAGTATGTTGTTGCTTTCGATCTATGGGTGTATCAATGCTGCTTGGGCGAGAGCAGCGGCTTGAGCACCTTGGACGACGACGCGATCGCCACGAAGCCCGTGATGGACAAGTTGTGCACCCAGTGCAGGACAAAGCACATGCCGTATTGCGCTGGTCGATACCATTCCCCTAGGCTGCGCAGGACGTTTGGTGGCGACTACATAGCATCATCATCGGCGCGTCGTCATCATACTAGCCTCCTTCCGGGAAATCAGAGATATCCACGGACTATACCATGAGTGTGGCGATGTTCACTTCCGTAACCAAACACGCAAGTTGCAATACAATCGCATGGTACAGCGCAATCACGGTAAAACCAAAGAGGATCCAGCTAGGGCTGCCAATGTATTCGTATCGACCAGATACCTACACACACACCAATCAACCCATATACGTCAGCGACGACTTTGACATGTCTGAACGTACGCAGAGCAGGACGGGAATCACAAGCATCAAGTAGTGCTCAATGTAAAAGTTATAAATGTCGCCCTAGGGGACCACCAATATATGTATGTATTAGCGTTCGACACTCTAGCCAAGAGGACACTATATGAAGAGTCATGTACAATGTAAATGTAGTCGCTCGTGTCTGGGAACGCCAGCGCGCAATCCGACGACCACGTCATGGCCACGTACACCTACGAGTGGAAAACCAGCCATATATGGGCACAACCGTGCATGAAATGGAATAGGTGCACACCTGAAAGATAAAGTTGGCGGTGCGGCCCCGTGCAATGCATAGGATCGCCAGTGTGAATGTCATCACGTGGCACGGCTGGAACATGTACAGAAGCCGCCATCCATTGACGGAATGGGCTTTGTAGTAGCACACCTGGAGGCCATATGAGAATCACATCCTTGAACGAATGATTGGGATGCCGGCACGTACCCCCAAGAACGACGACATGGTGATAGCACCGAGGACTCCATCCAACGCGGTGGGAGCGCGAATCGGCCGCTGATTCTTCCACTTGGAATGGTTCAACGCTTGCTTGAGCGCGACGTAGCACATCGGAGCAAATATCATCACGTAACAAACGGTTTCCATAGCATGTTGGCGCGGCGTCAAGTACCACACGCTACAAGCAGTGTGTGAGGCAGCATGGATGCATGACGGCTCACCTTCGAAGGGTCGCCGGGACGTGCGGGAACTTGGGTTCGTCGCCAGGGCCAATGCTGAGGAAGAAATCCTCAAGGTAGTCCACGGCGTGCGTGAATACCATGACGAGGTCGTGACGTCGGCAGGTTTTCAAAGTGATGCTGGTTGGTTCCTTCGAAACGTTCAAAAGTGCCCAATAATATCCCACGGGAATTCTCACGGGGAAAATTCCCTGTGGTTTCGATGGTGAGGTGTTTCTATTTCCGACAGACAAAAACGAGGCCTCAAATCCCAACCCAAGGCGCTCCATGGTTGCTCATACCCTTAGAAACAACGCATACTCGTACTGTGTGCGTCGTTTGTGTGTTTTACTACGTAGTATTCGCTTGGCTCGTCTATTTCGTTTTCAATAAGTTGTGTTCGTGCTTGTCGTACAGTCACGGGACACAGGGAAAACTCCCAAGTGATATAGCTCAAAATGGTGATTTCGAAATGACAATTCACCAAACAGCTGGATTTTTTCAACCCACAACTAATATCTGAAGATTCACAATCCGAATTTGACAGGTCATGGTGGCTACGCTGTTTTGAGTTGCTTGGTGGACAGCATGTAGCATCCGACTACAATGATCAAGTTGTACACAAGATGCAGCACAAAGCACATGACATATTGCACGGCGCGGTAGTACACGCCCAAGTGTGCCAAGATTGCAGGCGGCGACTACATTCAACGATGAGTGGCACACGTTCGCAGCATCTACCGGTACTAGCTGATTGATTACGTACCGCCATCGTGGCAACGTTCACATTCGTCGCTAAAGCAGCCACTTGGAGACACACGCAGTGATACAGCCCCGTGGTGGCGTACCCCAATACGATGAAATGCCAGTTGCCAAGGAAGGTAAACCTCCCAGTTCGCTACGTCAAAAGTGAAGTCACCTCCAATCGCACACATGTATCGCACGTACGCTGAGGACAATGGGAAGCACCAGGATGAGGGCGTGTTCGTACCAATAGTTAAACATGTCGCCCTATTGTCCGTAGAGCCATCAACATTGACAGTGAACAGTCGATTCGAGTACAACGATGAACGTACGACATGAGTGTAGTCGCTCAAGTCCGGAAATGCCATGGCCACCACAGAAGACCAGGTCAGTGTTACCATGACCTACAGATGCCGCCATGAGATGAAAGTCGTTCAAATCGTGGGATGTCCAAGCACCTGAAAGATGTAGTTGGCCCATCGGCCTGGCAGGACGCTCAAAATAGCAATCCAAGCAGTCAACACGTGACAAGGTTGAAGCATGTAGGCCACACGCCAGCTTCCTGGTGCAATATGCTTGTAGTAGTAGGCCTATCCATCGTGGCATGAGTCAGCTGCGACCTTGTTGGCATGCTCACCGCGGCGTATGACGATGTCGCCAGCACAAAACAGACCCAATCCACAGCCGTTGGCGCCCGGGCAGGTTGAAGAGCCTTCCAAGCCTCGCTTTTAACGGCACGACTATGGCAGAACCAAGCAATGGATGCATAGAGAAAGCCAAATGCAATCGTCTCGACGGCATGTTGTTTAGGCGTCAAGAACCATTCCCTACGGATTGGCGTTAGGATCCAGCACTTGCACGGTTGTCAGCGTAACGTTACGTGCGAAATTCCTCTGGAATGTGCGGGTTCAATACAATGAGGCCACCGTTGGGCCCAAGCCTCGAGTAGGCATCCTCGAGGAAGTTCACGACGAAAGACAAGGGCATCCTGGATCGTATCGGTGGAACTCAAAACTGTTTTGTTCGCAGCCATTAAATTTGCGTATTTTAAACATTGATTTAAAAACAATATGTTTCAAAGTTCCTGGATTTCAACTATATATGTAAGAGTCGAACCAGTTTAAAATATCTCTAGTTGAAATTCGAGTGTATTATAAAAGGAAGATCGACGATTGGCCAAACCTGAAACGGTTCGTGAAACCTGGCAAGGGCAACCATCATGGGAGATGCCACGATGTGGTCGTCCACGCACAAGCGGCACCTGACAAAGCAAGAGCTGCAGACCCTCCGCAGAATACAAGACCAAACGGTAACCGATACATGGCAGACTACATCTTGGCTTACATTTCAACTCTTCTCTTAAAGGCACTGCGCGACACGCAGTGCGCCCGAGCTCGGTCGCACCTCAAGTCCCTCGTACAGGACACTCTGCCGAACGACCCCACAATATATGCTGGGCTGTACAGTGACTCGACCAAATGGACCAAGGACGAAACACTCGTACTGGCCGTCAAGCCATTGGTGCCACTTGGACCCGCCGACGTGTCTGGAATGTATCACCTTCGGTCTATCAAACATCCGTTTCCCATTCCAGGAAGCCAGGTGAGTACTTCGCTGGTTGGTAGATTCAAAAAACGTCTGATGATCGTCGTCGTTGGCGTGCAGGTCGTCCGCGAGAAGGAGCGCATGTCCACCGCCTTAGCAAAGAAGCTGTCCATCGGACTCAAAATCGCCTCGGCGAGCGCACCGAATTTGGCCAACGCAGTACCAAGTGCAGCCAAAAGCGACTACCAAGACTGCTTGCACACGTTGGAGGTAATCCGTCTCAAGCGTTCAAAAAAGGCGTCGTAATGTGTGACATAGTCTGGGAAATTGCACTTTACGGCGCAATCCATGCTCGACACTCTCACGGAACAAGAGTACGACAAGTGCACCTTGCACTTTCTGATTCTCGTGTACGTAGACACCTCCTTCGCGTGCAACACGACGAAAGACAGCATCGACTGGCATCTGCGGTGGGGACTGCGCAAGACCTGGCGACGTTTTGGCGGTTGTTGGTAACAGGTCGAACTCGGTACAGCACCAAGTGTCCGTGGTGAAATCACAGTAATCCGACCATCAGGGAAGCTGTGTTACTTTTGACAGAGCACGTATTTGTCGATATAAACGTCGCCGTGGTGCAGAACACCACCGATGGCTCCATCACGCTCGACCCCAGCAAAAGCCACAGGTGCTTGCATATTTTTTGTAGAGAAGTATATAGCTACCTGTCGGTATGTAGCTTGGCGTCGACCCCCCTCATGGCCGCTGCCCGTCTGTTGAATGTGGACGTCGTGGCAGCCCTCTTGGATCGAGGGGCTGATCCGAACGTGCCGAATGGGAACGGAGACTCACCCCTGCATTGCATCTGGCGAGACATTCGGCCCAACAAACCGCACAACATTTCCGTCAAGTGGACATTGCGGGCGTCCAAGGCGGTGGCCATTCTGGATAAGTTGCTAAGCCACGGAGCGTTGGCCAACACGACGGTAAGTCTAGCGTCAAAATATATATCATTTTGATGCTTGAGTTTACGAGTGTTTTGACTAGAACGTATTTTCCGAAACCGCGTTGCACTGTTGCGCTAAGCTCGGCATACAGGACGCCGTGATGAAGTTGCTGCATGTATTGCAATTTGACTCTTAATATTGCGTACTACGTAGTATTTGATATTTACATATATATGTATATAGTATGGAGCATTTGATATAGTATATATTTAAATTGGTGCCTACATATAGAAAGGAGCAGACCCACGCATCCCCGATCGTACGGGCCACACAGCGCTGGACTATGCAAAAGCCAACGGTTTCTTGGATGTTCACAGCGCCATGGCAAACTTCCACTTGATCGACCAAGCCAGACGTCAGTGTAATGACATGCAAAAGGCAAAGGACATTCCAATCCACCCTGGGCACATGAGCTTGTCGTGGTCCACTCCACGTAAGTTAGTTTTTACCTATTTCATCTCTACCGAATGTTATGCAATCGAAGGAACTCTACTTGTATTTTGTGTGGCCATTGGAATCGATTGATGGGGGATCATAGCGGATCAATTGCTGCAACAACTCAAGCTGGCCTCGCATCGTGCCACGTATTTAAAAGGCCATTGCGTGACAAAAGACGGGGCTGTCGTGCTGGCTCCCGACGACGACGACCCCATTGTTGGCAGCGCCAAGTCAACCCCCAAACCACAATGATATGATCAAAAGGATTCGAAACAGAAGAATCGATGTCTGTAGGAGAATTGATCAGAGAACTGCCTGAGCCAATCAAACCACGTCATGTCGATTTCTGCCAATCCAAACGCAAAACCACATATATACTAATCGTTGTATACTATAGTGTATGCAAGATTAAATAGGATAAAATAAATTCGAAAGCTATTTGGCGAAATGACTTTGTCCAAATTTGGGTGAAATGCACAATATTACTGTGTGCGTTGTGTGGCGTGGAATCGGCAAATCATTTTCGTTGCGTTTGGCCGAGTGTTCAACCTTCACACTAGTACTAGTAATCATACTATAATAGTACTATTAATAGTACGACGACTTGAAAGAACATCCAAGACTTGTATAATTAAGTGCATATAGACAACTGCACAAAGTTTAATTGATGAACTAGATCGGCAGGTACACACAACCCTACGACGTGGACGGTACCAAAGGCACTTTGCAGCCAGAGTACAATTTCGACACCACTTGCTGCATCCACGCACGCAGTTTCGATTGTTTCGCAGCAACTTGGCCATTGTCGGCATCACCTAATTATCCCAACCTTTACCATCCATATATATATATATTTCCCAAACTCATGGGAGACAATATAGGTATTAACAAGAGACATACATCCGAGGAGGGCAGGCAAGATGGCGTCGTGGCCAACTTGAGTGTACGAAATATATTCTTTGACAAGTGTATCGCTGTCTTCTTGCGTCACTTCGAGCCTGTCGACACGGATTAAAGAATAAAAAAGAATTCTGTTTACGTACCAACACACGACGTCCCACTTGATCACGTCATCAAAGCAAGTGTGGCCATCCTCCATAGTACGATACATGATCAAATGCCGATCCAGCAAGTCCTGCCTAATCGTTGTAACGTCAACGACTTGCGATAATTTTTGAACCCCACGACACCATCCAACAACCCCAGCACACTTTGGAGTCTGGACGTGCTTACCGATGCTGGACGACGTTCAGACCAAACGGAGCCACGTCGTCGTTCATGTAAACCCGTGTGTAGATCGTAGCTGGGTCGATCGTGTCGAGTCGCTACACATACGTTTGATCCAATGGAAACACTTAGGGTGCGTCTAATAACATTTCAAAAATAATATTCCATTTTCTGGCAAAATGGGATAAACCAAAAATACCATTTTCGTAAAATGGAGGCAAATGGTCTACACTTCGTAATATGGCGCTTTGGACCGACCTCCCCAAGGGAGTAAATCCATCCCACTTGGAATGATTGGATTCAACCAAAACATGTTTCAATTCTTATCAGATTTATTGAATTTGGTATTAAAATGGCGGTTTTTGGCTAGAATATTGTAATATTTCAGGTTACCAGTCGGACCCTTAACCATATAGACAAAGGTCCAACATAGAAAGCAACAGAATACGTCCACTTACTTGGGCTATTCGAGGCGCCAACTTGGCTGTCGAGTGGTGGGTCGTGTCGCCCGTGAGCTGCAGCCAAATGCGGTTCGCGGCAACGGCTGGCTGTGTGTTTTGAAATCGGCGGCACCGCACGATCTCGGCATGGGCAATGTCAGTTTGGGCTGCATTGAATGTAACATTGCACTTGTCTTCCCCTTCTAAATGCCCAAGCTAGCCCCCCGAGATGAGTCCCATACGTGGGGAATTTGCCCAAACGTCGGATGAATTACAGGAATTTACCCATTTCACGCGAATGTGCTCTAGCTGCGCCCGCTGGTGCACGAGCAGTCGATGAATGTTGTCGCGCTTTCGCTCGTCGTTGGCCAGCGATAGGTTCTACAGGGGGGTTCATTTGTCAGAATGGGAACGCTCCCATGGATTGCCTTGTGATGGGGACGATAAACGAGGAATAATCCCAACACACCATGTGATGGAGGGCATGGCGCACTGTCCGCTGGTACGACATGGCCATGAGAATCTGTTGGCGGATGGAATCTCTCAGCGTCGCGTTGTACTGCATGGTGGCGGCATTTTGGTCTCGCATAGTCTGACGAAGGGTGGGATAGATAAAGGTCTCGAGGAGGCCAACATACGAAGAATACCTGGACAGTCAGAGCCCATTGTTCGATGGCGCGCTTTTCCTCGGGTGATTGCTGCAGCCGGCGCTCCCGTCGACGGATCAACTGCACGCGACGGGACTCGAGATGCGTACACATCTCTTGCAAATGCGCAGCCTCGTCTTTCATACGTCGTCGATACATCATCTTGCGTTGGCGTTCGCGTTCTAGAAATGTGGCGGCGGCAGGCAGTCGTGCGGACGACGCATGCACTGTTGAGGTCGACGATGAAGTAGTGGAGGCGGACGTAGCATCGCCGTTGTCCATCAAAGACGAGATGAAGTGGTCCTCATGCGGGAAGGAAATGTGATGCGAGGACGGAGAGCTGTCGCCGCCTTCGTTCATTATGTCTGCCCAAAGTCCTGCCAGGTCATCCCCAAGCGAATTCTCCATGATGCCAACGTGCTGACTGCGATAGTAAATGACAAAGTTCGCAATTCCAACGACGTGATTGGTCATAAAAGAGACCAATCAACGTGCACAAATGAGTATTTTTCGTTTTCACTGTCAAACGAATACTGTAATGGGATTTCAGCGGATAAGCCAAGAGCGTGCATGCTATTAGCATTCACTTCGAGAACGGCTATATCGTGGCATGAAGGAATGCGAAGTCCACCGAGACCAGCAAGGTGCGTTCTTCAGTATAGATAGACCTTTCTTCTGCCTGTGATTTCCATTATATACACGCTACGTTGTTGCTCAAGAGAACCGAACGACGGGCGCCATCTCGACGTCCAGCTCCATGGGTGGCGCGCTTGGCGTGGGTGCATCCTCGCTTCGGGTACTGCTGCCAAGTCGCAACGGTGATTTTGACCGCTCGGCCACCAGTCCTGCCTCCACATGCACTTCGTTGGGTCGGTTGCCCAATTCCGCAGCCAGCGTGCTGATCTACACACATAGCCATGAGTTCTCTGTCGCCACCAAAGGTTCCTTACCGCGCCGTCTTGGTTGTCAGGGGAGCGGAACGTCCGCCACACAAAGTAAAACGCGGCCAGTCCGAGGAAGATGAGCAGCAGCGAAAACAGCGCAATGCCCAGAGGGGATGTCGTGAGCCACGCCAGGACCGCGCCCAGGAAACTGGATTGCGTAATCAATCGCTTGTCCACAGTCGTCTTGGCTAACGGAATCACTCGCGATTGAATCGTAAACGTCGTCTGGGCGGCATCGTTGGTCGCATTGGCATCCATGGCCCTACACCACACACCACACCCGTCCATGGCAATAGGTTAGTTTGTCATGAGAGTTAGTCGTAAGAGGTCGTTAGTTAGCCAACACATATTCACATTAGCTTACAGTGGAGCTTCCGAGTAAATAGCCACCCAAAAATGGCCTTGGAACGGCCGCGTGGTCAACTGCACCACTTCTTCGCTTGCGTGCTGTAGGGTAACATTGAGCCTCATCATGCTAGCTATCTCCACACAAACATACCGAAAACGACATAACAGCAAAGTCGTACAGCGACCGCGGATTCACCTGTCCATCATGACAACGTCAGAATATTGTCCGTCCATCACGTATTACTGGAGTATATATCTAAGGTGCTTACCTCGGACACGTAGATGTTGGGCGACACGCCCCCTCCATTGGCTTTTACCCGGAGTTCTAGACCTGTATTCGGCTGCATGCTTTGGGGCAACGTGAACATGGCCATGCCGCCGTTGGACAGGGTAAACGTCGCGTCACACACACTAAACCCACACAAGTACCATCACTCTTGTCACCGCCAAACTGATATATATCAGTTTTGTCGTACCTGCACAAAAGTGATATGTTGGTCGCAGCAAACCAAAGCTGCGACATGGCAAACGCCCGAGGGGCATTGCAGGTCACGCCACTCCATCCATTTTTGCACTTGCACGTTGGTTGGTCGCCCACTTGGACGCACGTGCCTCGTCCGTTGCAATTTCTACACATTAAATATTTAGGAATATATATCTTCAGATATAGAGCGAGATATCAAGAGTCACATACTCCGTGTCGCCGACGCCCGAGATGGTGCAATCTGGGACTGTATACGCGTCGGCGGCGGACTGCAACCCCACGAGTGTGACGTTGGCTTGGAGGACGTTGCCAGAGTACAATTTGTTGTGTACAGCCACCTTGTAGCAGTGCGGGCCCGCGCAGGACGTGGTCACCGGCACGAGCACCGTGTGCTTGCCTCCTTTGGAAGACGTCACAGCATTAAAGTCATATGCAGAACTCAAGTCCAACGACGGAAACCCCGGTTCCAGGGGTCCTACAACAAGGAAGACACGCATGAGGATGAGTGATGAAACAACCAACAGTCTGGTATAATATAATCGAACAATATCTATTTTGACCAACATATAGTACTACCTCGAACCAACAACAGCGGCTTGACCTCGTCGTCGGCGTCGTAATATACACTCGACAGCTCAACTTTGACAAATTCAACGCTCGGGTCGGCCACGTCAAATGTCCAGTACTAACAGCCCCACCACAACAACCGTAACCACCCATCGTCGCAAGATATATTCATATAATATATATTGCACAAAATATACACGTATCGACGAATGCAAGCAGCACTCACCTGCCAATTGCCTTCGCGCACGGCCACCAAGGACCCCAGCTCCGTCGACACGCCGGCCTTGACGCTGCGGTGAGTCACATTCACTTGGTCACAAAACGGCCCTTGGCTGGTCGACGCGCATTGGCACAGCGTCGGCAGGGCCACCGCACATGCCACTGCATTGGTACCGCACACGCTGGCAGTTTTCACATCACACGTCGAGTTGGCTTCCACCGTGAGATGGTATGCCAGCGGATTGCGTCCGTATCGGGTGTTGTAGACCCCAATGTACAGCAGTCCGTCGCTGAGCGTCGACGACGCCCGAGTCAAGAGCACCCGTTGGCTCGTGGCTGCACTCGTCCACGCGGCCGCGTCCGCCGCTTGCAACGGGTACGGACTGCTCGTGTTGAGGGACGGCAGCTTGGTCTTGCGCACGAGAACCAGCGGATCGCTTCCATCCGAAAGCTCCCTCAGGTGCACATACACATACTGCCACTCGGGCTTGACTGTCAGCGTGTAGATGGTCCACTCGCCCACCGGCACCTACACACCACCACCATCACGAAATGCACAACCAACTAAAGGTAGTAGTTAGTCGTCGGTGACACACGTACGTAGTACTGCAGGGAGTCTCCGTACACGACAAACGGGTCAGCGTAGTGCTGGATGCGACTAATCGACGGCAACGGTACTTTGCAGATCGACTGGTCGTCCGTCGGGTTCTCAAACGAAAACGCCTCGTCGCATATACACGTGGGCTGCTCGATTCCATTGACAGTTAGCACACGACACTCGCCATTGCCGTAGCAGTCGGTGGTGTTGCGCAGCCCACTGGATGACGTCACCATTGCCGATGCCTACATTACACGACACAATGCACATCATATACACTTAGCGACAGCATATGGACAATCTCGATTTTCATACGGAGGGGGTGTTGCAGTTGTTGAAATCCACACAATCGGGACGACACCGGGGTGTACTGCATCGCTCGCCAGACCACGACCGGTCGCACGCGCACACGCCGGCAAAGTACTACGTACATCTGAGTCTGAGTCGATATGATTCCATGCGACAGGGCGTCGTCGCTCGTACCTTGCCGCACGTGCCGTGGTTCGAACACAGTTCGTTCACACACGGATCAGATACCACATTGATCTGAAACGTCGACGCGGCAAACCCAAAGACCCCAATGTAAAAGTACCCCGGGGCACCTTGCACCAAGAGCGAATTCGCTTGGCTGCAAAACCGAAACGTGTCGTTGATGGCGCGGGGAAATTTTCCCAGCGTCCCACACAACTGAATCGCGTCCAAACGGTCTTTGCGGTTGGCGTTGCTCACGAACAACGTGGTTCTGGTCGACTTGGGGCTCGGGTACTTGTCGACAAACGACCCGTACAAGTCCGCGTCTGCCATGAAACCAAGTCATGATCTTAAAATATGCAGGGACATCCCCTATGAGTAGTAAGTACCTCCAGTAGACGATGTGAGCAAAACGGTGATGTCGGACGAACTCGAGTTCAACAGCACTTTGAAGTACGAATACGTCTACATACAGTATATATCAGTGCCACAATCTACTTTGTCCATAACGTACCTTTGCGGAAACTTGGCCCGTCGTGGCGGTTGTGGCGTCCAACTCCAGCGTCGCAGTAGGAGCATCTCCAGTGGAATCGCACTTGGCACCAAAAAACCCACTGGGACATACACACGACCCTACCATAATGGCAGTTGGATGATATAAGTTAACTGATGAAGTTAACTGATGCGATTGATCAACCATGTGAATAGTTAACATACCCGTCAAGCAGTCGCAAGACCCGCCATTCGAACACGTCGTACATCCAGGCACACATTCGCACGCCTTGCCTACACACAAACCGCTTGCTCTATAAAGCAGTACATAGCACGCATAAAGGCTCACCGGTGTAGCCATTCGCACAAGTACATGTTCCCGACGAGCCATTGCACGCTCCGTTGCCGGAGCACTGCTCGCCCAAGCTCTTGTCGTTGGTCACAACCGGACACAACAGCTCCGAACACGACAGACCCGTGTACGCGGCCTCGCACTGACACGTGCCGACGCGGCGGTCGCACGTCCCCCGGCCGTTGCATTCGAACCCCCCGTTGAGGGGGCAGTCCTTGAGCGAACAATCTGAGCCCCCGTACCCGGGGTTGCACGAGCACGACCCGTCGACCATGAGAATGCCCTGGCCAGAGCACTGCGTCTGCAGTAGCTGGCAGATCTTGTTGCCCGCGGGACACCGCACCGTGCCCTGAAAGCCCGGGACCGACACATCGCCCCCCGCGAGGGGACACGCGACTTCCTTTCCATTCACTTTGATGTACATGTTGCCTTGGCCGCACCGAAGCACGGGGTAACACGCAGGGGTCGTCAGTCTATAGTTATATTACTCAACTTCCACCTCAGTGTCGTCACAACCACTTACCGTGAACTGCCTTTCGTCAACGTCGATTGAAAGCACTTGCTGCCCGGTCCCAACGCCTCGCCCATGTCCGAGTCAATGTAAGTGGACTAGTTACACATCAAATCGACGTCGTTAGTGTATGTATCCTTCCCGAGTTTAGTTGTTTTAGGTAGACAAACCGTGTCAGCACACGCGCCGTTGCTGTAGCCCTGGTACGTCGGGCAGTAATCGGCGTACGTGTCTTGACCGCCCAGCTTGGCGTTCTTGAAGTACTGAAACCCCGACGGAATGCTCGACGTGTACGTGTTGATGTCGCAGTAGCCCTTGGCGTCGCGGGTGGCCGAGCAGTGTTCGCCCGCCGCTGGGCAAAAGTAGTCGCTTCCCCAGTCGGCACAGCGTCCGCTACAATGGCTGTGACCAACAGCCAACTGAGTTTGTCATACTTACGTGGCAAACGAGCAGCCTTCCAAGTACCCCCACGGCAATGCTTGCGCCATGGAATAGTTGGCGGTGTACCATCCCGTATCTTCAAAGAAGGCCAGCGTCATGGCCGAGTACACAGGACTGGAGGAGCTTGTGGCCGTCATATACTCTTTGTTAAACACCCGCTTTTCCCAATGACTGGAAAAGTCGCTGGATCCGGTGGGTCCATTCTCGAGCTCGGCCCCCGCCCCTGGCCTAATCCCCCCATTGTTCAGATGCCGAGTAATATTATAACATCAAAAGGAGTAAAAATATATAAATATATATACATCTGTACCAGTCGGGGCAGTTGAATTGCTGCTTGGCCTGTTTGACGACTTGGGGAGTGATGATTTTAGAGACAAAAATGCCGTTTTGCTGGGTCTGGGACACTACATTCGAGTACCCCCACAGGGGGCCATTGAGGGGCTGGCGAAAGTCTGCAAACCGCGACGACGAAAACCCGAGGGCGTGTGTGATTTCGTGGATGGCCGTGCCGATCTGCCCCGCGCGACTCCCGCTCTGCGTGTCCAGTCTACGCCAACCATCCATGATTTAGTGCCAAATATGATATAAAGCTGCATTTAAGCAAAGGAGGATACCGGTTGGGGCCAAAATTCGCTTGTCCAGAGATGGGGCGGCCATACTGGTCAATGTTGCATGGTAGGGCCCACGCCAAGACGGCGCCAGAAGTCGGACGCGCCGTCACGTGGATAAGGAAGTCTGTGTTGGCGATGCCCGTGGTCTTCAAGTACGGCGGAATTGTGTTGGCGCAGCACGCCCATTCGTTGGCTTGGCACCCGAGGCCTTGAATCTAGTTCGATCCATCCAAAGAACTATATCGTCAATGCTAATAGTAGGCAAGACGAATGATACTGTAGCTATGGCGGAGTGCTTACAATGAGGTTGCCAGACACACGCTGCACAGACAAGACACTGGAAAAGTACGCTGTCACGGCTGGAAGCATCACCGACAGGATAAAGTCGGATTTTTCCTATCCAATCCCCAAGTCAATACATAATAATCGAGTGGAAGGATCAACCGAACCTTGGTCAAGATGTCGTTTTGCGTGCAGCTGTACGACGAGCCATCTCGAGTGACGATTTGCCCCGCTTGTGTACAGAGGTAGTCGGGGTCACTGTGGCATGTATCATAGTTGGTCAGTGCCGTGTGGCTAACTTATATTACGGATGTGAACCTCGTCAAGCGTGATATATCAAACGAGATACGAATGGGCTGGAACAGTGTTGTGGCGTCTGCAAGTCGACGGGAGCCCGGGGTTTCCAGCACTTGATCGTTCATGATCGACGACATGTCCACCGATCGCTACAACACAGCCAATGCATGAGGTACTATACGACAAAGACTTGAAGGACGTACTGTGAATCGGTCGAGCTGGACGTCATGGTTGCAGTCGTGGCCGCCGCCTCCGACGGCGGAGCTGGCCACGGCGGCGAGAAACCACGCAAGACGCATCCAGACGAAATGTGAAGGTCAGAGATACAACCACGAACGTAAGAACAAGGTGCACCACCACGTTCAGTCACTTCTGCAAGATATGCTGCTCCTGCCACTGAAACGCTTTTGACGCTTACAAACTTCAAGATACAAAGTGAAACGGCCATTGAAAAGCGAAACCGACAATTTTGGCGTGGGACACAAAGATCTTTGGCCGCGAGGGCACCACTGTAATGCAACACATATCTTTGGCACGGTTGAATGGAGGGACCACATGTACTATCATGCTGTATCGGTGTTGCGTGGTCCACATGAGATAGGTTGCTGTAGAACTTGCAAATTCAATAGTCAACAAAAAACACCCCGTGAACGACATCAGAACAATTCACTGTACGCATTCACTTTCACTTTCTTTCCGCCGCCTCTGAAACATATAAAGAACATGTATTGATCATCACGGACATGACATTTCGTGGTGACTGATATGTGAGGCTATCGTGTTAACTCAATAGTACCGGTACGTCTAATCCAACCCCCTTTATTTTTGAATTCCTGCTCGACTGATAAACAACACTTATCACGTACGCACTGCCGAGCAAAGTGTATTCAGCCGTGAATAAACGAGATTAAAGTGGTTGACATGCGAACAACCCAACCCGCTGAGTGAGCTATTTTTAACTTGCACCAAAAGTGCATTTTCACAGCGTGGTGGTATGGACGGCGCCAAGCACGCGAGTGTGCATGTCGTGCCCATCCTCGAAGAACCCAACGAGCCCATCAATTTGGATCACATTGCACACACGCTGGACCAGACAGAGTTAAATCCTATCTTTCCCCAGGCACGTCAACTTCCCCCATATGTGTTTCGATGTGACACACAAGGACCTGACGATAAACGATGTAGTGGCTCGTGGAACGCAAAGACTTTCAAACATTCTTTCCCCGGTTCGGCACACGCGCATTAAGCGAGGACGAGAAGCTGCGCATGGCAGCGCAGAAGGAACCGGAGAAGCGCAACGGCATCGACATCCAGCTCCTGTCCAAGTGGCTGCTGAACGTGCCGTCGTTGAAAGCTCTGAATGTGATGCAGGCCGGCGAAATCGCCAAGCGGATGCGATGGGCGTCGTTTGCACCCAACCAACTCGTGTTCAAGAAGGGGGATATTGGTGACGCCTGCTACATCATTGTGAATGGCCAAGTACGTTACGTATACAAACGATTGCGTATACTTTTATCGTACTACAAGTTTTGAACAGGTGGACATTGTCGTGAACGGGGAAAAGGTCGGGCGGTTGGTCAAAGGCATGAACTTTGGGGAGGTGGCGCTGGAACAGGAAGACGCCCTTCGCACAGCCGACATTCAAGTGACCGAGTCGGGGCCGGCGGACCTCCTCCTCATTCGCGCCGAAGACTACCAAAAGAACGTGTATCGGTACCAATCCAAACGCCGAAAGAAGCTCACCAAGTGGCTGCGCACCGAAGTGTCGATTTTCCGAGACTTTTCAGACAACAAGCTGCGCTACTTTGAGTCCGTGTCGATCGATTTGTTCCTCCACCCGGGGAATTGCGTGTACATGGAGGGCGAGGCCGTGGGCGCATTGTACATTGTCAAATCAGGTACAAATTCACGATCACAACCAATCTTGTAGTGGGGGGGTCGTAGCAAAAACGAACAAAATTGGAGGGGGGGTTGGCTAAACAATGCTACTGCTGTGTAGGCACCATCTCGTTGGAGAAGAACGTGCTGTTTGAAACCAAACACAGACGACCCACAGGGATCAAAGCGTGGTCGGTGCAGTCACACAAGACACACATCCAAGTCCCGAGCTACGTGGTCGAGTCGGCTGGGTGTTTTGGGATGGAGTACTTTGTCAAAGTAAGGATTTGCTTTGATATCTGTTGACCAATCCAGTAGATCCCCACACGAGCGCATACGGCGGTGGTCAAGACGGAAACGCACTTGGTCGTAATCAACAAGATCGACTGTGCCTCCACAGTACATTCGTTTAGTGTCAAAGCCATCGACAAGCTCAGCGAGCGGTGCGACGTCGTCAAGTTTCTCAAGACATACATGTGATGTGGCTAACACTTTTGCATATTAGGTATCGAACGATATGGAATGCGACCCTTCAGGCCACGACCGCACAAGTTAGCGTGTATGAAAAAGCCCAAAAGATCTCGCGGGGGTACTCGCCAGGTTGGGCATCCCATCGACGACGACAAAACTGCATATGTTGTCGTTTGAGTAGGCCATCAAGCACCGATTACTGTCAACCAAAAGCACCCAACGTCTCAAGAACCCCATCCGAACTTGCAATTCCCGTCGCTGTCTAGGGCAGTGTGGACTGCATCCAACAACGTCGTGGCCAAGGCGCAGGACCGATGCTACACTCCAACGTATACCCTTGGGCGATCCGTTTCAAGTAACTTAATGTTCCCATGTCTTGATATGACTGACTTTACTCTGTTGTACGTAGCGCCTACTCTTAGCAGCGTCAACTTTGCAAGCCCGCCCTCCGCTGTCATGACGACACTGTGTCCGCCCACAAGTGCCTCCACGGCAATCAACAACAATAGTGTATTCGGCACTGACACGGGCGATTTACCTCGCCTTCTTAGTCCGTAAACAATCATATGATGGTTACTTGTAGATGCAAACGCACGTATGCGCTACACCGTTGGGGGATGCGACTATTGAATGACAACACAGCTAGTATTGTCTACTCTTGCGCCTTAACTTGGTCTTGAAACAAGAAGGGCTTCCAGTGGCATTGGTTGTCTTCTTCGAAGCGATGCTTGAATAAACCGGCAATGTCGTCCCAGTGAAAGTCCTCGAAGTTGCGCACGACCAACCCATTGTGGTCCAAAATCAACTTGTGCGGCACCACGTGCACGCCATACCCTATACTCAAGATCGTCATCCACATGTAAATGTGCTGGTCTTAGGTTACTACAGTCGGGGAATGAACACACCTTCGGGAATGTCCTCACAGCCAACGTGGATCACCGTGGGCATGTCGCCGTCGCCGCGGTATTCGGTGCACACGCGGGGTTTTTTGGTCTTGGGATTGGTTTCTGACACAAACTTGATTGCATTCCCAATCTACCACCAAACAAGTCCATATATGAATGTCGATGGAATGTGGTGTACATATTGTACATGTTTGTCGACGTTGATGAGCACAAAATTGATGTACGGCGTGGGAATGTTGTGCTTGGACCACATCTCAAATTCCTCGACCGCGGGAATGCATGAGTTGCACCACGTCGCGTAGAACATGACGACGCTGGGTTTGCCGTTGCCGGCAATGTCGCCAAAGCTTGACGTGACGCCCGTTTCGAGGTCTACTATGTCAAAGTCCGGAGCTGGCGTATTGATGATGATGCTGGCCATGGGACTTGCTGGAATGTACAAAGTGGCGGCCCTTCGAGTTAAATTGGCCGTTTCAGGTTTTACCCCCTCGTGTTTGGTTCAATGCATGGATTAAGCTTAGCCCAGCTTAGATTATCGGATAGTTTACTTTGACAAGGGACGGTTTCACTTTGAAACCGATTTGGAATACAAATTCATTGACTGTGAACTGTATACTACAGTACTGGTACTACTGTAGTAGTACGTACTGTACTAGTAGTATATCGGAAGACAAAATTCAATTAACTGTGTGAAATGGAAATGTAGAGGGCAAGTGTCGAAGGTCGCTTGGTGTGCACGTAGTTGTGGCCTTTGCAATGGTAACATCCGGCCAATTCTCATAACTTGAATGGTCATGACGATTCGAAGTTGTCATAATATTATTACTTGGAGTACTGTAACCTTACCGAAGTTTATGTTTGTTTTTCTGTGGTGGAACATATACGTTTTCCCAGGTTTTTCGAAAGATCGTAAAAATCGAGATCTTCAGCAGGCAGGTGCACTATCAAATTCCAGAGCTGGAGTCGTAATGAAGGGCTTGAACATTGTCATCGCGTTGTCGACCGTGGCATGCATCGCCATGGCCGAAAGCGTTGCCAAAGACGTCCGTGTAGATGGTGGCGCCGCTGGATTGGGTACCAACCCTGACCTGGCCGTCCCGGGCAATGCCGACAAGGAGGGCTACGTGTTATCACCAGAACAAGTTGAACAAATCCAAGCGCTATTGGCGAGCGACCTTCCCCTTGAGGACGTGGAACCTCCTGCACCATTCGAAGGCACCGCAGTGGCCAACAACGCGTTCCCAGGGGACCTCCGTGGCATGCAGAATGTCAACTTGGTTGTCCGTGACCAGATCGACGCCTTGCTCAAGTCCACGGGCGCGAGCCTCCCTAGTGACATTGATGCCAAACTGAACCCCGAGCGGATCCAAACGTTTCTCACGTGGTACAATATGTCGTGGCTTGCATTCAACTTGGCCATGCGATATGTGTTTGGGGACGGCCTTGGTGGCGCCGCCGTCGTGGGTGGCATTTGCGTATCCATCTTCTTTGTGATTCCGTACATGTGGCAAAAGCGGAGGGAGCGTGCCATGACGACGTGGTTGACCGACTTCTACCTCCAACACGCCCCAGACAACGTCATCCGCGTGCCCAAGGCAGTCGAAGCGTACGCGTCGCTAGGTCGTCATGGGTTCACAAGGCTCAAAGCCGACTGCCACGAAAAGTACGCCACAAACAAGAAAACGCAATAGATGGTTCCTACAGCAGACCAACCATCCAGTGGAATCACCACCAACATCACTCATATCAGTACATTAATACACCCAATCTCAAATACAGCTGGAATTGGGATTTGTATCGTCATAGGGCACACACTGTGCCCTATTAGTACTACTAACGTTACTAACGTTACACCGTCAAATAACAGAATATTTATATATTTTTGAAAAATATAAAATACCTTGTACTAATACTACGGTGTAATAACTATTCCTTATATATATTTTTTACATGCACATAAACGTTCGTAGGTTGCTTGCTTCAATGCTACTAGTATGGTCTTCTTATCCGAATCGACAAACTCACTCTAGATGGCCTATGTATACACTAGTATTAACCCATTGCAATTTGATTCTGTTGTGCTTGACTACTTTTAGCAACTGACTAGTACTACGTACTACTACTAGTAGTACTAGTACCAATGGATATGCCAACACCAACGACAAGCTACAAATCGTCGGGGACGAGGCAGTTGCCATACAGCGAGTCGTACGTTTCGCGCTCGCGACTACAATAAGAGAAGGCATCAGCATCAGTAGACGACCACGCCACTCACATGAGGCGCGGGGTGCCGTCGGCGGCCAGGAGAATCTCAGGGGACCGCAACTTTCCGTTGTATTGAAAGCACATCGAGTGTGAATGCGCGCCCGTGTCGTAAATGACAAACAAGTCGCCGACTTTGGCATCCGGAATTACTCGATCCTTGCCAAACCTACCACAGGTACGTAAGGTACGTTTATCATAGAGTACCGGGATTAGGTACTTTTATCATTGAGTACCAGTCGTTGTTTTCACACAAATCGCCGACAATGTTAGCCGTGATCAGAGGCGACTGATCCAGTTCCCGCGCGGGAATTGTAATGTGGTGGTACGCGCCATACATGCCTGGGCGCATCAAGTGAGCCATGCTCGCGTCCAACCCGTAGTACCTAATGACACAAGTATTGAGTACTACTACGTACTACCGAGTACTAACTACTACGTACTTGGCGTAGGATTGTTTGATCGCTTGACAGCGACTGACAAGCCAGCCGTACGGCCCAGTCATGTACCGGCCATTCTCCATGCACAAGGTAGGGAGCGTGGTCTATCTCAGTGACGACACAGCATTTGACGTGAATTGGGTAGAGTACTAGCTAGGTACTCTAAAATCCTCAGCTTACATTGTCATGAGTACCCATCAACTCGTCAAAAGTCGTCCGCAACAACGTGACGATGGACGCAATGTCCACGCGCGGCTACGACCACGATCCATGATTAGACTGCACTCTGTCACAGTTTTGTGCCAAGAGCGACATTCATCGTTGTACCTGATCCGGGAGGTACGGGATGCCCAGTCCGCCGCCAATGTTCATAAACTCAAACGTTATGCCGAGCTACGATCGTCACCATGACGTGTACTTTATAATGGACATGGAGTACCTACCTCTTTCTTGATTTGCATGGCTGTCTCGTACAAACCTGTGATGGTTTCCTTCCAGTACTCATTGTTCATCACACACGACCCTGTCATCATGTGGATGCCAAACCGAGTGGCGCCGGCCGCTTGCGCTTTGCGGTACGCGTCCACAATCTAAGGAATATTTTCTCTGTCGGCATCATGTGAACGAGGGAGGCAGTGACGGTTGACGGACGTACTTGGAACGGCGGCACTCCAAACTTGGCGTCGGGTCCTCCTAGCACGTTCGACTTGGTCTCGGAATCCGTGCGCCCAAGGCCCTACAACATGACAAGACCGTCAAGGGGGAGGTAGGTCATGATGGTTTTGGTTTTTGTACGGGGTTGAGTCGGAAGCACATGAGGTCAGGGACGCGGCCGCGCACTTCCACCAACGAATCGACCAGCGAGATGTCTAGTTCGGATCATTCAGCGGCAAGAACCAAGGGGAATATACACATCAAGGGTACTTGTATACCATCGAGGTTTATTATCACGCCCAAGTCGTACGCGAGCGCGAGGTCCTTCTTGGACGTGAAGTTGGACGTGTAGATGATCTTGTCCCCGGGCACGCCCAACGTCTTGCAAACGTGCAACTCTGCCGTGGACGAGCAGTCGAAGCCGCAGCCTTCTTGGTACAGCACCTTGAGTACGGCGGGGTTCGGAAGCGCCTTGACGGCGTAAAACTGCGTGAACGACGGGAACTGCGCGCGAAACGTCGTGAGCAGATGCCGCGCGTTGTCGCGGATCATTTGCTCGTCGTAGATCTGGAGCGGCGTGCCATACGTGTCGGCGAGGTGCTCGAGGCGTTGGAGGCCGTCTGGACCTTGGAGGGAGGCGGGGAGGGCGACGACCATCGTTCAATGCTGGCTGTCGAATGGACGAATGCTGGTGCGTTGGAAGTTTACACACAATGGGATTGACCAATCACCGACGAGACGTAGGACAAGGAAACTTCTCGTGGGACTTCAACATTAACTGTGGCCAAGTCCATTCTTACTACTAGTACACTGTGACGTTAACGTTACTAGACCAGTACAGTACCAGTATTATGGTCAAGCATCATCACGCCGTGGAAGCCAGCCTCTTGTCTGCATGCATCAATGTGTGTCGTCTACAAGGCTTTATACATCTCATCCATCCTGGAAGTTGCACCATTCATGATGATTCAATGTACTAGGTAGTACGTACTTCGAAGTACATTTTACACGATACGGTACATTTACGGTATAGTAAAGTCAGTTTATGTCGCCAAATTGTAAACCGTACCGTAAAGTGGGTACTACCTTTCTGGGTTTCGACCATGTATGTACAGTAAATCGTTGACGAGTGGGGATTTTGGGCAAGAAAACATAGTTTGCTCGAATGACGTTGTCGTGCTCGCCTACTACTAGTAGTAGTACATACTAGTACAGTACACCATATCTCTTGCATGTATAGTAGTAGTATACTTAGTTCTTAGGGTGTACTAGTAAATGCATACACGCCTTGCGCCAACAAGTCTTTGAGAGACCACCCCCACTGCTTTTGGCCCCCGTCGTGCTTCCAGTTGGAGTATACCCACCCTTTGGCCGCCATGTCGACAACGCCCAGCACTTTCTTGGCGTGTGCCGGTTGGTCTGGTGTCGGGACCGACTCGTTGCCAAACTTGGCGGCGTTCCAGCTCCCAATCAACAACGGGTTGCCCGTCCATCCGGAAATATCATCTTTCAACGTGTTGATGCCGGCGTCATCTTTGAACGCGGCGTCCGTGACCATCACCTTGTGCCATTCGTGCCACGTATTGACCACGACCGCCGACTCTTCGGGCCAAATGCTAAACGTCATCATCGTCTCGTCGTTGTCTGTAATCTGCAAGCTCGCGCCCTTGTGCTGGACATCCCCAAACGACTGCGTGGTGAGCACTACTCGTTTCGTGATGTTGCGCACCCACGGATACAGTTCGCGGTACAGCCCGACGATTTCGCGGTGCGTGACGCGGTTGTCGGCCTTCTCTGGCTCATTCAGCAACCCCACGCCGAGGAACCCGTCGTCATCCTTGTACCGGTTCACGATGAATTTCACCAAGTCTTTGGTCGCGTTGAACGACGCTTTGGTCGGTCGCAGATCAAACGACATGTCGCCGTATTCCTTCTTGATGGACCAAGGGATGGGTGCGGCGCTGGGCTTGCCGTTTTGAGCGAGGAGCGCGGCCGACACGTCCACCAGCACGGAAATGTTGTGCGCCTTTGCCCACACCTTGACCAACTTGTCGAGGTAGTTGACCGCGCCAGGCGCAAAGATCGAGTACAGCGGCGCCAAATTGACCGCGTCCGACGGCGAAATCGACTCGGTCACGTTATCTTGGATCCAGTACCCGATGGGCACGCGCACGGCGTTGAGTTTCGCGGCGGCGATGGCCTTGATGTCGTCTTCCGTGATCCACGACTCGCGATGCGACGTGAACTTGGTCACCATCTCCGCCTTCTTTTTCTGGGTCGTGTACCAGTTGGCGACAGCAAACTCGCCCGCTGACGACACATCCTCGGGAACCCCTTTGTAGATCTCGGACTTGGGTGTCACGTCGAAGTCCGCCACAAGCCACCCCGCCAAGTTGACTCCCTGGACTTTGGACCGACCCTGCGTAATGGCAAATGTCATGTGGTAGTTTGGCGGTGACGGTTGCTGATAGATGCTCAGCAAGATGCAGGCGCTGATCACGGCACCGAGCGGTAAGAGGAACCATACCAGGCGCCGTAAGATCACAACGGACGGCCGAACCCTCACGTCAGCATCCTGCTTCATGATGCGAGTAATTGAAAAATTGGGAGCGAAGATCAAGCAAATATGGGTACGTTTGATTGGTACATCCTAATCATTCGGATTTTACGAGGAATTCCCAAGAATGGATGGAAAGTCGGGACATTTCCCATCACGAAAGAACAGGCAGCTCTGTTAACACTGTAAGCAACTTTGCCTCTACGTTTTTGTTATCAAGCACATGGAGATTCCAACATCGCCATGAAGAACAACGTGAAGAACAAGGTATGAACCTGCATCACATCTGAATTTCGAGGAATTGCCGCACGGCCATCGCTTGACTTTTCCTCAAGCAAGGAGCATTGGGCATTTTCTTTTTTATGCAGAGTTTTTCCTCCTGGCCTGCTATTACTCACACCTGTTTAAACCGATACGTTAAAGAATGTGCTGGACAGCGAACTCATACAAGTACTGTAAGTGTCTTCAATTCCACTACGTTTTACGATGCACCACATAAACAATTACGTTAAATTGCCATCACCCACAGCAAAAATCCACAACAGTCAAGCACGAAAACTTGACTTTGAATGATGATTCGCCTTGCGTTAGTTAGTCTACTGTATTCGTAATTAACGTTACTGATGATTCGCGCCTTGCGTTGATTAGTCTACCGGTACCGGTATTCGTACCAGTATTGACATTATCCGGACAGCACTACATAGTATTACTACGTAGTAGTACTAGTAATTTTAATGTTATTTATCGTTTCGTTAATTGCATTATATATTAATAGTGCTATTACTACGGAGTACAAAATATCCTCCAGTGAATGACCTTCAAAGTATTATATAAAACTAATTTTAAGAGGTAGCCGTTTCAAAAAAATCAATATTTACCCAATCATAAGGCTACCTTCGTAATTTTTAGCCAATCATACTGCTTTCCTGGAAGAGTTGGCGATTTCAACAACTCCCTAAAATTGGCAAATCTGACACATATAAAATGCATATTCCGGATAAACTGTCGAACTTTATTCGATGCTAAAAGTTCGACGTCGTAGCCAATCACATTGCCCATCGGTTATTTGCGATCTTTCCGTCAAATTCAGTCGAAAGGATCTCTGTCATTCTCAATTCGACATTTCCAGCATGAAGGCATTCACGGCGCTCATCGCGCTTGCGTTGATCGTGTATGAAGGAGGCCGAGTCCGAGGAGACCCCGCGGCTGCTGCCGCAGCAGCGGCGGCAAACTTTGAAGGCAAGATGGCGGACCAAGCGAAAAACCTGCACAAGTTCATGCCCAACCCCACCGGTCCTGGTTTCCGCGACAAGGGCATGACAGGGGAAGCAGAGTTTACGCAAATGGATCGGTTTGGCATTCCAGATCTGAACAACCCCACAGCGCACGAGCTTACGGATCTCAACTTTGACAAGGCGATCGAAGGGGAGCAATACGTCGCGGTGCTGTTCTACTCGCCCACCATGGACGAGTATGACTATTACGCCCTGCATTGGGAGAAGGCAAGCATGGAATTGGCCGAAAACATCAAGGCGTTCACGACGGCCAAAATCAGCATGGCTCGCCTCGACATCTCAGAGCCCGAGCACCAAGACATCGCGTTGACGTACGGCATCTCGCTGTCGACGCCAGACATGCGACTCTTCTTCAACAGCACTCACCTCACGGCCATCACGAGCCCCGTGTCGCATCAGGACATTCGGCAGTTCATCATCGCACAAACGATTCCTTCCGTCACACAACTGGTGTCGGACCTCGAGCTCAAAAAGTGGAAGCGTCGAAAGGTGTTCAACCAGGCCAACCTTAAATTCCTCGCGCATGCATCCAACGACGACCCCGACGCGCTCTCGACCTTCAAATCGGTCGCGTCGGACCTCAAGGCCAAAGTGCAGTTCGCGTACGTGACGGACCTGGCGCTGTTCCGGTCGCCGTCGGGCGTGGACATCCCCGACGCCGCCGCCAACAGCATCTACCTCCTTCGCGACTTTGCCACGCCCAAGATCATACCCTTCCCCACCCACGATCGTCCGTTCAGCTTGGACTCGGTCGTGTCGTTTATCGATGGCCACAACACGCCGTGGCTGACCAACTTGGCCGACAAGGACGAGCACACCGTGCGTCTGTTCCTTGAGCACAAGAAACCATTCCGCGCTCTGGCGTTCTTCAAGACAAACGCCATGCTCGTGGCAGCGACGCCGGCGCTAGAAGCGTTGGCTCGCGACTTCCACGACGACGTCCTCGTCGCGTACACGGTGGAGGACCCGGAGGACGCGACCAACTTTGACTACCAGTTCTGGGACGTGCCAAGCGACAAGCCGGCGCTTCTGGTGGTGCACATGAAGCGCGACCGCAAGTTTCTGCTCTCAACCGATACGGCGCACGACCTGACCAATATGCGCACGTTCGTGGCGGACGTGCTCGCCAAGCGCGCGACGGCCGAGCTCAAATCGCAGACGCCGCCGACGCCCAACACTGGACTGGTGCGGGTAGTTGTGACCAATACATGGGAGGACGAGGTGAAAGCGAATGACAAGCAAGATGTGCTGGTGCTGTTGACGAAAGGACCGAGTCATCCGCCGTCCCGGTGGATGCTGCGGCACATGGAACGGTTCGCCAAGGTATGGCGACGCGATCCGCGGCTCTTGGTGGCCACGATGGACATGACCAAGAACGACTTGATGGAATTGGAGGACGAGGCATGGACGGCCCTGCCGAAACTGTACTTTGTGCCCCGAACGCACACAGGTGCAAGTCCGTTCGACATCGAATTACACGCGGCGTATCCGACGATGGAAATGCTCATGGAGTTTGTGAGGACGCACCAGAGCCACGAGTTGGTCGTGGACGAAAAGGTGTGGACGCGGCTGCATGCTGAAGACAAGGAAGCGCTGGCCAGTCACAAGGCCAAGATGGCCAACGGCGACGATGTCCACGCACCTGACGATATTTTGAAAGAGTTGGAAATGGAACTGAAAAAGGCACAAGGGAAGGAGGAGGCGGACGTCCGCGATGAATTGTAACCACTGAATGAATACATCGTTTTGGAATGGGGTGATTGTGTGATTGTGATGGGGTGGTGGTGGGTGGGGTGTGTGCAATGTAAACTACTGTGGTGGCAAGATTGATATCCAACCACGGAAGGAAATGCATTTGAAAGGGGCTATAGTAGTTAGGCACTCGACATGCTTGTCGTATAACGACGTTTCACCCAAATTTGGACTTTATAGAGTCATTTCGCCAAATAGCATTCAATCCAATTGAAGCTTGTACAACTATGCCATCTTACAAATATTTGTATATTTAAGGTACTGGGCAGAATCTAACGTTTGGATTGGCAGAAATTCACCAGAACGTGATTTGATTGGCTTAGGCGGATCTTTAATAATCATTCTCGTAACAGTAAGCATTCGATTCTGGTGATTAGAATATGGATTTGACAAAGCAATCAATCGAAAAAATGATAAACCCAGCAAGAAACTGTTTTTATTTTATTTTATTTTATGGCAAGGGCACAGGAAATAATTCCATCATAAAACAATTTATATATTAATATATAGTTACCGTAATTCTTACTCCAAGTCCCGGATTTCGGTAACATAGCATGCTTGAATCGATAAATCCGTCAAAACAAGTACCACAAGCGGACATAGTCCATGTGTTTAACTTGACGTGCAAACAACCTGAAACCGACATTTGCGCTGCATGAATGTGCAAACTCAACTGACGGGCCGTTTGGAGGCTCTATCAACAAATCACTTCGAAATTTTCTCTGCTGAAGCTACGGACGACCATGGAACGCATCATGGACCACATCGATACCCTCAATACGCAGTATGCCAAGCACCCGCTGTGGCAATCTTTGGCGTGTGGACAAGGTGGAAAGGTCGCCCGCGCAAAGCTCCAGGCGTTCGCCCCTGCCATCAGCTACTTCATCTTGGCGTTTCGCGACTTCAACGACTTTGTCTTGCCCTACGAGTCCCCTCAATCGGAGCTCGAAGCCGCGCTAAACGTCCATGCTCTCGAAGACAGCACGCATTACAAACTGTTCCTTGAAGACTGGGAAAAGTTGGGGGGCGATGGGTTGTTGGTTCCGTTTGCCCAGTTGATTGCTGGCCTTCCTGAAGATGACCACCGAGTCCCAAGCACCCAATCATCGGTGTCGTTAGCGCCGTCGACTCGCACGCTTTCGTTTCTGTGGTCGGACGCCACCAACCACCACAGCCGCAAGCTGATGTTCGCGTTAACCAAGCTCATCCACCAGCGGGCAAGTGACGCGGCCGTGCGGTTTGCAGCCGTGGAAGCCGTGGAAGAAACGGGACGAGTGATGTTTGAAGCCACGGCCAAGCTCGCCAACGAAATCGAAGCAGCCGGGGGGCCAGCGTACCGGTACTTTGGGGAGTATCACTTGGCCTTGGAAACCGGGCATGTGATGAACCAAGACCCGGCGGCGACAACTGGCGGGGCGGGGGGCTGTGGCTGCGAGACGGACGACAAGTTCAAGCAGTTGCCTCTGTCCCCAGCCCAAGAACGCGACTGTACGCTTGTAGCCGACCAAGTGTTTGCCATTTTTACCGAATGGATCGACGGTATCCATGCATTAATGCAAGCCACCGTGCAAGTATAACGTCAAACGTCGTTCACATACTGTTCTCAACCAACTTAACACGTATATTCTGCATCAGTGTTAAATTAAGTGTTAGGCATCCCCACCGGTAAGACTTAATCTTCGGGAAACAGCAGGGCCCCAATGTCAATACAATAGTAGCTATGTACAGGACACTTTCTTGAAGGTATATGGCAGTACATACACACCAAGGGTTGATGATTGCTGGGCTAGTTGGCCCCATAGCTTACAGTTAATATTACGCTATAGTTAATATTGACTTCTGTGAGGGATCAAGTCGTGGTTTGTTGTCGAAGGCCAAACCATCTCGGTTGAAACGACAAGCCATTGGTGAAATTGATTGTATTTACATACTACTTCGAAGTACCTATGTATCTAACGTTAACGCTTCAAGTCCAATATCGCAGACATCAAGGCTTCGAGCTTTTGATTCATGGCTTCCACTTGCGTGGCCATGTCTTGGTTGTGTTGTGCGACATCGTCCAGCTTGGATGCCATGGTTTGTGTTTGCTGGGTCACGTCTTCGATCTTCTTGGCCAGGTCCTGGTTCATCTCGGTCGTGTTGTCCTCGTTTTTCTCCTTGAGCGTCGCGTCCACCTTGTCAAATCGGTCGACGATTTCGCTGAGTCTGGGCTCGGGGGCCGCTCGGGCCTTGGCTTGATCGATTTCGTGCTCGAACGTTGTTTGAATCGTGGTTTTGGTGCTCTTGAGCAGGTCAGTAATCGTCACCTTGTACGTCATCTGGTGCAGCAAAGTGCACTTGGTGTGCTCAACCGCCTGGTCCTTGGCATTCCACGCCCGCTGCATGTTGTCTTCAAACGTGGATAGCGTCTTCTTCACCAACGCGTCGAGCTTCTTGAGCGCGTTGTCGGCGTCTTGCCCGCGGGTCTTTTTGGCCAAATCAATCAGCTCATTCACTTGTTCTTGGACCTTGTCAAGGAGGGCAAACTCGGGGGCTAGCGCCGTGGCCACGTCAAACGTGACAAAATGCTGGACGTGGTGGAGTCCCGAACGGAGCGAGTCGAGTTCGGACGTGGTGCTGGCTTTGAGCGCGTCCATCAAGTCGACCCACGCCATCTTTTGCTTCTGGTATGCGTTGATATGGGCTTCTTGGCCGTCGGGGACCTGGATCGACGACTTGGCCACGCGCTCGTTGAAAATCGGGTTGAGGACGAGGTCGCCGTCGTCGCTTTTAAAGTGGATGAGCTCGACCGTCTCAGCTTTGCTCAAGTTCATCGACTCTTCAAGGCGTAGAATGCACTGCGCGTAGCTCGCCAGCGCCTCGGTTTTGGCCCTTTCAAACCCGTTGTCGACTGTCTTGTTCATCATCGCCAAGAGCACGTTGAGGAGGAGAATCACCACGACCGCCGCGTGAAACATCATGAGCACCACCGCGCATGACGACAAGAATCGGTCGCCGTCGTCAGTCTGGTTGAACGCTTTGACAGAATCCAGCGGCAACTCGCCAAACGTGACAAAGTACGTGGTAATAAACGACTGCGTGATCGTCGCGAACGCGTCGTCGTCTTGATGCTTGAATAGCTGGTAAAACGTGATCGTGAGGCCCATCTGGAACACGCCAAACAAGATGAAAAAATTCCACACGTCTTGGAGCAGGTTGGACATCATCGGCAGGAGGTAGCTCGCCGACGGCACGACCTCCAAAAACTGAACAGTCAACACCCACAGCAAGATCGTGATGAAGCTGCCAATGCCAATCTGCACCGTCGGGTCCACGGCAAAGAACCCAAGTTTCATCGGGACGAACACAAAGAACAGGACGAGGTAGATGGCCATCTGCGCCTTGTTGATGTTGAGTCAAAGTACTTGAGCGCCCCCACAGCGCGCACTTCTTGGAGCTCCGTGATAAGGAAGAACGACACGGTGAGCCACAGCACGATGTTGTTGAAGTGGGCAAAGTAGTTTTCAAGCCCGAGCCACTCCATACCCAGCAGAATCGGCACCACCAACGCCCCCGTGAGCAGAAACACCGCTTGAAACAGCAACCGGCGGGCGACGCGCTTCTTGTTGCCGAGGTCGGGGATGGCCAATTTCGGGTCAAACTGCCGTCGTGAAAGTACCGACCGAGGCGCCACAGCATCTGCGGTCGAAGGAGCTGGACACACACAAACATGACGATGGTCAGCACCACCGCCGATAACCAACGGCCCCTGCGAGATCGCTTCGTTTTCAAACACAATCGACGACACCGTGGACGTAACCAATAGGAGGACGTTCATCATGAGCTGCTCCATGTACTTGCGCAGGCCAAACAGTTCCCACTTGATCTGTAGCAACCGCCGTGTGACAATGTGCTCGAGGCATTCCTTGCGAGCCGCGAGCACGTACTCGGGGTCATCCGACTTTAAGTTTAATAACGCGTTGAGGGTGCTCGTCGCCGTAGATTTCTTCCATCTACACAGCATCGATATACAGTGTCACAGAGGATGATTGACAGTGTCACAGAGGATGATTGACAGTGTTGGTTTGTTTGCTTGTACCTGGGAAAATACCACGTCGTGGCGGTTGATCACGACCGAATCGTCGAGAAATGTACGCGCCAACGCGGGACTGCAGTTGATCGCTTTGCGGAACCCGCCCTGCAGGAACGCTTCTTCTGCCGTCATGCCCATCAGACTCTTGGCCAGCTTATCGCGGAACTCGACAGAGCTCTCCCGCGCTTGCATTTCCACGTTGAGCAGGTCCTTGATCTTGCCGTGGGGAGTCGCCGCCTTGCTTTTGGGCGACCCGACCATCACGTCGTACTTGTTGACTAGATCCAAACACGTGTGTCCTTGCTACAACAAGAAGAAGAACATACATGGCGCGATGAATGTGTATGACGTATAAGTAGTAATAGGCGAAGTACGGGTTACCGAGTCTTGGATGTCAATATCTGCCATCTCTTTTAACAGCAGCGCCACCATCTCGACGTGGCCTGCCTCGGCAGCTATCATCAACGCAGTCTTTCCATCCTAATATGAGAAAGGTCGTTGGAATTTTTCATATCGCCAAATGGTCAAGTCGTCAGAAGATTCGACGATATACTGATTTGTACCGAGTTGGTGGCATCGTAGTCGGCTTCGCGGGCAATCAAAATCGATATGTACGTCTCGGCATATTCATCCTTGCCTCGCGCTGCTAGCATCATGGCCGTGTCACCATTCTACAAGGATATATATATGTGTATGAGCTAACGGTGATGAGAAGTATATATATATATATATATATAGGTACGTACCTTGTCCTTGGCATCGACATCAATCAAGTCATCTTGCGCAAGCAATTCCACGATGTGCGGAGGTTGGCCGTGGAGGACAGCGGCATGCAGCGCCGTTTGTTTGGCCTAATCCAGTCCTGAGATACAGTTTTCTGCTCGACGATCAAGGGGGGGGTCACACCTGTTGATGCTTTTCGGCCACTCGAACACTGGGCACGTTGGCTCGATAGTAAGCATTCAACGTCTCACGCTGCATGAGCGTAAACTTGTCGACAATGTACTTGTAGCAACGCGATTTCGGGTTCAAGAGTGTGAGTTGGTTGTCGTCCGACTACAACCACACGGCATATCGAGTTGAGTTGTGAATGCTAATGTACTTAGTATATCCAAAACATCTACTTACATATACCTAGTATACATATCCAAAGTCTACTTAGTAATATATATATATATATCCACCACTCCCATGAACGCACGAACCTCGTACGCTTCAATCATCGTAGGCGCGACGCCATAATGCAACAGCAGTTGGACGCACCCGACGCGGTCCTTTTTCATGGCTTCATACAGCGGATAGTAATATTCCTACCCACAACACATACTACTATCAGACAAATAGTACAAGTAAAGTACTAGTAGTACTTTACTAGTTACTAGCCGTACATTGTTGAATATACCAAGGTCCAACTCGGGCTGGTCCAGGAGCATCTTGAGAATCTTTTGCTTGCCTTCTCGGCACACGACGTGCGCGACTGTCGACCCCTACACACACACACACCCCAAATCCTATCATTGAGCCCCCCAAAAAATAGTGTTATGTGTCCACACATCGAGATCGAGATATATACGTACTGAATCTGCGTCTTTTGCATTCAATCGGTCGCCGGCCACGGTGGAGTCCAACTGGGCTTCCAACTCGTCCCATGATTTGGCTTTGGCCAGCTCAAACAAGCTCACGCCCTTGTCGTTTGAGTTGTCTCGCGACTGGTCACAGTCCCCACAACATAGCTTGTCGTACACAAACGTGTACGGCTACTCGATCGAGTGGTTAAAAAAGTAATATTATAATACGAAAGAAATCGTGGGTTCGTACAATGGTCGTGGGCTTGAGTTGGAGGCAGCTGCGATGACGTAACAGCTCCACGAACGTGAGGATCTCGTCATTGGTGCGATGATGCATGTTGTTGGCACATGTGAGTTTGCGGGACAAGGCAATGTCCAGTGCGGACTTCCCAGCCTAATATATAATATAATGAATGAATGGTTAACGTTAGTAGGATCATATATCAACCAAACTACCATGCATGCTCTTACGTTGTCGTTGATGCGAATGTCGGCTGGGTTGACATAGAGCAGAATCTCTTGGAGAATGTTGAACCGACCAAACTCGGCCGCGTGCATCAGCGCCGTGCGTCCTTGCTACCAGGGACAAAACAAAATATATAAATATGAGATACAGGGGAGAGAGTTTGAAACCAATATATATATATGATTGTCAAGTCGATTCAAAATTCGAGTGTGGGTGCTTGCTACTCACAATCGAACGAGCAGCAGAATCACCACATCGACAGACAATCGACCAATCAAAAACCACATACGCGAATCAAGTAGCCAATCCAATCCACTCGTTTTCGACCAATTCAACATCCGAATGAGTGATTCACTAAAAGTGTGAAACTGGTCAATTTTTACATATTTTGTCAAGTCAATTCGAAATTGGATTCCCAATAATAACGAATGAGCAGACAATCGATCGACCAATCAAAACCCCGAGCACTAATCAAGTGGCCAATCAAATCCACTCTTCGACCAATTCAACACTGAATTAGTGTGTGATTGAAATTAGTGTGATACTGGACGATAGTTACATACAAAAGTCAAGACAATGAATCGGTCGATAGATTTAGTGAATCAGCACCAAAGTCCATATTTTGGGTAAAAGGACGAGACAAATGTAAGGCAATAGTGGTACAAACAATAATCGGTCGATAGGTGGTTTGGCGAATTAGCAGCACAAACGTCCAAACATATTGGGTACAAGGACAATTATATATCGACAACGACGAATCGAGCAATACTGTTACCCGGTCTTTGACGTTGAGCAGGCTGGACACCTCTTGACGCGCACTCAAATCACGACGGATCGCGTCGACTTGGAACGGCAACTCGAACGGCACCCACATTGTGTGACGGGGCTGATCGCATGCAAAACACACCGAGTTTTGAATGGGCACGGCTGCAGTGGCGCAGGTGGTGCATGGCCACATGGGAATTTTGTACTGAAATCGACTGGTGGTGACGCTGCCGTCGTTGTCTGTGGTCACGTCCGTGCCGGTCCATTCACTTTTCATGGCGTCAAACTTGCCGTCTTGGGCAGACGTCGCGTCCATGTAGATGCGCTCCATGTGGATGTCGTCGTCCTTCCATGTGCCGCTCACGGCAAAGTACCCCGCGCCATCCTTGTCAAAGCCCGTGAACCGGTACGCCTGCATCGCCACGTCACGGAGCACCTTGACGGAAAACTCGTCGCCTTCCCATTCGCCGCGCTCTTGGCGGCACCGGCCGACCCATGCATGCACCAGTTTGCCGTTCTGGGGGTTCCACGGTAAGGATGATGATGTCGTCGGGGATGTGCAGGCCAAGCACACGTCGTTCACATTGGGAACGATTCTGCCATCGCACAACACACACGAGAACAGGGGGACTGTCACCCGAAACGCCTCCTTGTTACCGTTGGCTAGCGTGCACGTTCCTGTCCATTCGTTCGTGTCCGAGGCAAACACGCCGTTGAATTCGGATACCCCGTCGGCGTATATCTTGGTCACTTGGATCACGTTGGCTTGCCACTTGCCGACGGCATCAAAGGTTTCGCCGGTGTCGTTGTCCTTGCCTTCGCCGATCAAGTGGTAGCATTGTTGTGACACATCTCGTTGGACAAGCATGTGAAAGCCGAGGTCCCGCCACACTTGATCGTTCAAATCGTCGCCTTCGATTCCTTCTGCGACATCGTTCACATCGCCGCCGCCTTCTTCTTCAGCATCATCATCGCCTCTATCAGCACCAGCTTCGACTGGATCGATCACATCTTTGTGCACATACACGAGTCGACATTGCCCAGTCCAGTTGTGCAGCGATGCCTTGGCACAGCTAAAACACTTGGAGTTGGCCACCGGCACGTCCGCGCCGCATTCCATGCACGGCGACATGTCCATCGCAAAGCTGATCGATTTCGACACTCCGTCCCCGTCGACCATCGTGCCAATGCACTTTTTCGTGCTGTCGTTATAATACATGTCGTAGTTGACCGTGGACTTTGCATAATGCTTGGCAAAATTGAGGCATCCGTCCTTCCACGCGCCGCTAACGACATACGACTCGGTGTCGTACCCCGCGCAGTCGACGCGATACACGTTGGCTTCCACGTCTGGCGTGAAGGCCAGGTATACGCTCATACTCCAGTCGTTGCTGCTGCTGTCGTCTTCGGCCTCCACAGTAAAGTACTGGGCCTCGGTTGCCTCGCAGCCAAAGCACTTTTGTTGGGCATTGGGCACCTTGGCGCTGGCCCCGCACACCACGCAGTCGTGCAATGGCAGGTTAAACTTGAGCTCGCCCATCAAGTCGCCGGCAGTCCACTCGCCGGTCCATGTGCCCGTGGCGTCGTCAACGTCGCCGCCGTACGCGATCGTGTAGCCGTCGTCCGCGTACGTTTTCAGGATGTCGAGGCGCCCATTCGCCACCACCCACATCCCGGTGATGTAAAACACCCCGTCAGTGTCCTCGTACTGCCCCATACACTTGTACGAGTGCGAGTCGTTATCCCGAACCAACTTGACCTTGAGCTGGAGGTCGCGCCAGTCGCCGTCGCGAAGGTACTGGCCATTCCACACATGCGCAACGCCTGGGCCCTTGGCCGTGGTCTCACTGAGCCATGCGTTCAGCGCAGAGATATCGCCATTGCGCGCCATGATGTGCGCGGGGTACTTGACGCGAGTCATGCGCTCCGTGCGTAGGATGGACCGGATGTAGTCGTTGTCAGTCTCTTGAATGGGATACTTGCCGTCCTATATGCATACACCCATATGGATAACCCGAGTAAGCCACAAGAACGAACGAGATGGATGTATCTATGGGGATGGCTATATCGTACGCTGTCTTTGACGTCAATCTCGGCGCATGCCATGAGCAACAACTTGACGCCTTCGTCGTAGCCGGACGCTGCGGCCACATGCAGCGGTGTGCGACCACTCTACCCGATCAAAAGCGCAACATTCACAGCTTGGTAGATTGGTCATGCAATGTACTGCGTACGCAACCTACCTTGGATGTGTGGTGGACAGACGCATTCGCTAACAGCAACAGCTCGATACCGCGGGAGTTCCAGCTCTGGACGGCCATGAAGAGCGGGGACTCGCCAGCCTATTCCATTATTATTGTTATACTGTTTGGATTGAAAACATCTAATCCTCCAAAAGGTAGAGGTCGTACGTCGTTTTCAATGTCCACGGGCGCGCCAGCATGGATAAGTGCTTCGGCTACGTCGAATGTCTGGTTTCGAATGGCATGATGCAGCGCTACGTCGCCATCCTACATGCACATGTGTGACAACGAACCCCCCCCCCTTGGTTGTGTGTCCATGACGACTTACGTCGGGAGTGGAGTAGTTCAAGTCTGCAGACGAACCCAACGTCTTCAAGAGCAGGTGAAAAATGTTGGACGCGCGCTGCGCAGCCAAATTCAACGGTTTCCCCGCGTACTAGACGCATAAGAACATGGCGTGAGAGGTTGGAGGATGCGATGAGACACTTCAACGAGAACGGACCTTGGGGATGCACTTGTAGTTGGTACATTCCAAGATGAGCGACACGATCTCAAAGTTGGACTGAAGAATCGCATTGTCGAGGAGCGAGTCTTGGAACTACGAGACACGATGGGTGTAAGGAGGGGGGAGGCTCGACGATGGTATCGGCAAATGTACATCGTCCAGGGTTGCCAATTCGTCCTCCGTGACGTTGCGGGTTTGAAGACGCTTCTTCACGGACGAGAATTTGCGCTCGGCGAACAACTCGACTATGGACTTGTCAACGTCTTCCTCGTCCACCGCATCTTCGTCTTGGATAAAGTCGTCGACGTCGTCCGCCACGACGACCGTCACAGATGCGCCGATGATGCTGTCCTCGAGTCGGTATGGCTGTTTGTTCTTCTTCTCCGACATCATGTGCAGTGTCTTGGGAGTTCAAAAGTGACCATCCAAGTCGACCCATCGTCGGACGTTGCACGGTCGGAAGGGCACGTGCTGCACGTATCCAGGTCGCTCAAAAGCCAGCTAATCAAATCGCAATACAAATCACAAACAGGTTATATCAGAAATCAATTCGGTTAAATAGAAAACACAGCCCATGCATGTTGGATAACGAGGGGATGGCAGGTGCGTTTTTTGCTTTGGCGCGATTTTCAATTACCTTATTTGCATGTTACTGTACCATGGCTAAAATACTGTACTACTGGAGTACGTAGTAACTTAAAGTAATTTATTCTAGTAATACTATGCACTGGACTCTCGCGTCGAGACTTAATAATCGTAGTATATACTAACTTAACGTAGTCTGAATCTCGATGTGTTAACAGTATCTCGCGGTGTCGCAGGGTTGATGCGTTGTTTGTTGTACAGCTGTAATACCGTGCAAAATGCATTTTGGATTCAAAAGTGATGCTGCATGTACGAAGGGACAACTACAGTTAATACATGAACTGTAGCGGATGTCCGTACTTGCTTGCATAGAGGGGAACTCAGGGAACATAATCTTCCCATGGATTTGTCTAACGTTAAGACTACCAGGTTCAGACCTACTCGTCACTCTCGATTGTCGTCCGTATCGTTCAATCTTTCCCGAGGGGTCTCCGTCTTTGCAATCCAAACGCACTCGAACGAGGGCGCTCGGAAACATCTGCATCCCATCGCTGAGCACAAGGATGGTCAGTCACGTGGAAGTTTATACATTGTTATAGCGCCAACACAGAAAGAAGCAAGAGTGTTCGCAGTGAATACAGTTCATTCACACCCCACGACACAACCGCATGATCATCGTGAGCTCCTTAAAAGCGATGCCCCTTTGTATACGACGATGGACGAGCTCCCCCATCATGGACATTTGATTCTAACGTTAGCCAAAATAGTATAAAAATAGTATACTAACATGGGCACCACACATCCCATCCCCATCCCCCCAGTGTGATTGTGAATATAAATTCGACAACGTGGCCACAGTGAACGTTGTCGATTATTACTTCATCGAGGCCATGCGAGTTGCGCTACGTTAAGCTCTAATTATCCCCTCGTTCATAGCAACCCTACGCTTTGTGGAATGAATAAACTACCGATGCTGGTGCAGAGCAATGGGGCTACCTACGCACATGTAGTCGCACGTTAGTGCTTGCACAAGGCACGGACTTTGGTTATGAAACCTCCCTATTCACAATTTACAATACTAGTCGATACAAGTAGCCATACAATTTGTCAGGAAACACCGTTGTTGTCATACATGTACAACAAATATGCACGTAGCCGAACGCCCATGTCTAACTTGTAAAGTCCACTAAAAGCATTACAATACGAATCGGATTTTACTACGTTATAATCGTAGATCATCATGTCAGGTACTCATGTAGCCACCATTTTCCACACTAGCGTTAATGTACTGTACACTCAATGTTCGTCCCTGTATATAGTACGAACGTTACTGGTCTCATTATGGGCAAACTGCTTCATGACTACACGGCATAGTATGTCGGCATTGATTGCCATTGCAAACAGATCATTCGCTCACGTGTCGCCTTGAGCCAACCGAAAAGCATAAAGTAAGAAATCAGCAGTTCGATTAATACTACGCTGGCCTCGTACATATAATGGCCAAGTTTTTAGGTCGACGCCAATCCCAAAGGTTTTTGCTAGGCTAAACTGAAATGCCAAAGCTCTTGGTGACAGGCGCTGCAGTATCATCTTCGTCTGTCGCTGAAAGTGGCAAGGCTGCCGTAGGCTGTTGACTCGCAATGGTACCGTACGACTGCGGGTTTTCACTTGGGTAGGCCGCAATGGACGTGGTGACCGTGGTAGTGGAATACACGGGGAGTGTCGTGAACGGCTGCGGCTTCGTCTCCTTGTCATGGCAACATACGCAGAAAGCGCAGACACATTGGAAGATGTCACAGACGTCACCTCCACATGTAATCAAGGCGCAGAGTTGTCGGCACAGTGATGGCATATCCTTCCTGGCGCAGGCTCCCAAGGAAAGATTTCCCTCTTCAGACTGCTGCAACGAGTACAGGTGCACAGTACTGCGTACCCGCCTCTCCGGGTCGAGCCTTGTGATTGGTCCACAAGAACGCGTTTTATTACTTTGACGTATTCGCTCGACCCATTGTTTACACCAAACAATGCATTAAACTCATTCAAGTATTATGGTTAAACGCTAAACGTGGCAGTGTGACAGTTGTTCACAGCATTTCTATCGCCCATTTGAGTTGCTCACTACAAAAAGTTTCGCCAGCGGCCTGGCGTTGAAGCACTTTAATCCACGGTGGCGTTGGAGAAATGCAGCACATTTGGGCTTTGTGGGAACGCTATTGAGGTAGCTCCTTGCGGTCATCGTCAACTGGTGGATGTCCTACGTCTCGTATGGGGAAATCTTTAGGAAAACCTACTTGGCCGAGTACAAAGAGAATGTGCGACACACGCACACACATACTACTTCGAAGTATTGACTGTGAATAGAAAACCTCGCGAATTTTGGTAGTTTTTCGCGAATTCACAAGAAATTACTACATACTTCAAGTACTCCAAATTGCTATTATAATAGTGTTTCTTAAAGAGGAGAATAATGCAGTTCGTAGAACTTAAAATAATGTCGAAATTCGTATTAACGTTAGTGTTGATGGAAAATGAATTAAAAGATTGGAAATATCGATAGGCTGAAAACATTTCCGAGCCACTTGATTTTATCCAGTTATCTGTCAAATTGCATCTGATTAGCTGAAAATTTCAGAGTGATTGTTTTCTACCAATCATGCATTGTGGCACATAACCAGTTGTCACGGAACTGCGCCCATACGTATCGTAACGTTACTTAAAATACTACGTAGTACTGCACTGCTAGGATGTAAGCTTACTATTTTAACAATACTTATCGGTAAACCCCCTCGCCAAAATTGTCGATATTTTGGCTATTTTTAGCAAATCGGCAAAATGTAACTGTCTGGATCCAAAATTTGGAAGGTTCAAAATAATGCCAAATATCTCGTTTTTCGCCAAAAAACAATACTACGAGGTATGGTGCAAGAAAGCTAGAAACGACATACAAACACGTATGGGGTGGCCAAAATACGTCCGACCCCATACATTTCTGTTGTAGCAAGGCGATCGGTTAAACTAAAATAGCTCTCTCATTTTTTCGTACATTGTAAATTGAAACTACATGATCTATTCGCCTTGTCGAGATCTATCCTTTTTGTGGTTAATTTGCCAGGAAAAAATAATACTGCACATGGTATAATAACGCTCTAAAAAGTGCTCAAAATATCGTCGTTTCTAGGCTTCATGCACCATACTACGTAGTAGGAAGAGGTTCGAGGGACACATTTCTTCTGAAAGTTGGCAAAACGTGATTAACTGAATCTTTCGAAGTCAGTTCGAAAATCCAGACTTTCATCATTCCAAAGCTGAACCAACTTTCGAATACTAGTATATATTTACTATTAATACTTCGAAGTACTACGTATTAATAGTATTAATACCAGTAGTACATAGTAATACTAGACCACAAAATAGTATAATTTCTTTTCGGACTGTTCGTACTACGGGGGGGGGGTACTGTTGTAGTCGTAGTCGTATCGACGACATTTTATTTTTCCTGTCCACTTGCGAAAACGCTTCGACCTTATCGTCGACACTTGGATCAACTTGCGAATCGCAGGCGACACAGCCACGTTCGCCACTAAATATTGGCCATAGCCAGTGCACTGACTTCTTGATCTTCATGACCAAGCCTCAGAACCCCCACGCCGTGAAGTTCCATTCCGATCGAGTACTATTTACATTAGCACATGATTACCAGCCACCACATTGGCACCAAAGACCGTACGTAGGCATGTTTTTTTCGAAAAACTGTCCAATATGCGAACTTTAAGGCGACTCGTGTGCGTGGAAGGTTTGAGTCAATTGCACAATTCGTCGCAAGTCGTATGGGGAAGCACAAGAAGGGGGTGGAGGACGCCGACGGGGGCGCCGAGTCCGTCTTCACGCCGCAGCTGGGGGCGGACGACATGCCCGACCACTTCGACAGTGTACCGATCTTCTCTCCAAGGCAGTCGACCGTGCGCGAGTCCATCATGAGTCAGTTTCCCGTATCAGAGCTCAAGTACAAAGAAAACCCCAAGACCTTTCGCGGTCGCATTCGGGTACGACCCTCCATATCTTGCGCTCTTGCTGTGCCATCATAACACGTAGTTTAGACGTGGCCAGGCGTCCTGCTGGCGCTGGCTTTGCTGGCCCTCACGGCCGTGCTCGTCACGTATTTCGCCATCGACTCGCACAACACCAAGCAAGCACTCGTCGCGGCAGTGCAAAAACGCAAGTTTCAAGCCAACACGATCGGGGGAGGAGATACAACCCCCCCTGGCGATGTCCTCGTTGATGCGGACGACGGCGTCATGGGCAATCCCAAGGTGTACCCCGTCCAGCGTAAGCGCTCCTTGGGGGTGTTCGTAGTTTTTGACGTGGTTCTCGACTCGACGTGGGATGGTGTGTGTAGAATGCGAACTGCCCAACTACATCAGCAAGAGCAACAAGATCTTCTCCGTATCGTCTACAGGTGTCGAAGTGCCCGTCGCCATCAAGGGCATCAATTGGTACGAATGTGCATAGATATATGATATCTATCCTATGCCGGTGGTTGGACTTGTCTAACAATCCAGATGGACAACGTAGGTTTGGCATGGAAACGTAAGCTGGCTATGTCGGACTGACTGGCAATTGACGATTTGACTGCTCTCTAGGGGAGATGCCATTCCATTTGGGTTATGGGCGAACGATCAAAACGGCACCACAGCAGTACTACATCAATCTACATCTCATGGTGTCGTTAACCTGACTTGAGGATACATAGTACCAAATCGCCTCGTTCTTGTCAGCCAACAAGTTCAACAGCGTCCGGCTCCCCGTGTCCGTGTACAACATCCTCAACAACGTCAAGCCCAAGCAAAGCATGATCAACGTCGCAGCCAACCGCGCGTTCGACGTGAGCTCATACCTGGCGCTGCTCAAGAGCGTCATCACAACGCTAGCCTATCGCAAAATCTCGGTCATGATCTCCATCCACACGCTAACTCCGCAGTCGTCGGGCGGGTCATGGTTCAACAATGACATTTCCAAGGACATGGTAGTAGTACCCTCCTTTCGTATATATTTCCCCATCGTATCCAAGTATGATGACCCCTTCTTCTTCACTTCCTAGCTCGTGTCGTTGATATAATAACTCACCACATGTCATGGCTGTCGTAGTTCCTAAGCTCGATCGACATGCTCACCACCGAGCTGTGCCATGCAAAGTACTGGAACATCATTGGGGTCGACTTGAAGAACGAGCCGTACGAGTCGACGTGGGGCGACAGTGGGCCCATGGACTTTCACCAAGGCGCGACCATCATCGGCAATCGCATGCTCAAGGGGTGTCCGCAGTGGCTGGCGTTTGTCGAAGGCATTGTGACCGCCCACGAAGTCGACATTGGTGGCGACACGTTTAGTTACTACGACTGGTGGGGCGGCGGGCTACAGCGCGCCAAGGACTTTCCCGTCCAGCTTTCCATACCTAACAAGGTATTCATCCTTCCTCGCCATTAGCTACATATACACACAACATGTTGATATTCATTGGACCGTGTCGTGGCAGGTCGTATACGCGCCGCATTACTACAATCCTGCCGTGTACCCACAGTCGTACTTTTTTGACAAAGGGGGGGTCGTGCGCTCGAACGGGGCCATGATTGGGTACAAAGAGTTACCCGATTCTGTCCTTCGACAGCGCGTGGCAGCGACCATGGACACGATGTTTGGGTTTCTGACTAAAACCCAAGACGCTGCGGTCGTGCTGGGGGAGTTTGGGGGGTTGTACGCTTTGGACTTGCACCCCCTCAAGACTACACAACGATGCACCGACTACACCGTGCAGGAGATCATGCGTCCGGGGTACGTTGGCGGGTACGTGTGGAGCATGAACCCTGAGAGCGCCTACCAGTTCAACCCGTCCGACGTCCGGGGCAACTTTGTCGAAGGCGTGCTCAACCTGGACTGGCTGTCGGCCAACAAGGACTTCTTGGCAGCACTCAAACCCCTCGATCAAATGGCAGATCTCAAGATGTTTCCGTGCTTTGAAAAGGAGGCACTTTAACCTCTACAACATGTCGTATTGGTTTTGTATGATCGTCGTATGTAGCCATCTCGACGCTGGAGGGGGGGCTATTTTTGCGACGATCACCTTCCGAGTCCCGAGTAAGCAACTGTCCCCCCCTGCCCCGAAGTGTATCGTGTTCGTCACGCGATACTGTCAGTAAAAACACTGAAACTCACTTGCAATCATTGGAATTTGTATCGTTTGCAGTACACCCCCCACGGTACCGTGTTGGCATGCTAGTCAAACAATTGCAAAGACGACGACTGGGTTATGTGATATTAATACACTGCATTGCGTGACTACGATGTTATCCTTTCAAGGGTATAGTACTCGGGATATCAATCCCAGGTGGTGCTGTCGTGGGCGCAACAGCTTGCTGTCGACGTCGAAGCAGCAGCGCCATGCCAATGATGAGGAATATCAGCGCCAGGGCCTGCAGTCCCATCCGCCGTCTTGCCTACCAACGTCGACGCTGTGATCAAAGTCACCTGTCGTCGTCGTCGTACCTGAAGGGTCACTTTGCGAAGTCGGTCGATCCATGACGGCGGCCGCGCTTCGAGAAGTGCTGGCGCGGGGGACTTGGTGTTCCAGTCGGTCGTGTCTTCTGGGTGGTATACAGGGGTGTGCTGCTGCATCACGGACGGCATCTTGAGAGTCCAATTGTGAGACACATGACGGTGGCAATTGAACCAAAGAATGAGAATGTGCAATCTCGCCCCATCTCGCCCTCAAGGGAACCGTCGACGAAGTAACGTTTTACTGTGCACCACACTTAACCCACGACAACCCCCCCTCCCCCGCCAGCGTCGAGAACGTATATCGCCATCTCGTTCATCTAAATGCAGTCGAAGTTGCCAACCCTTGCAACCAATGCAGGCGCTCCAACTAACCTCTTGCACCAGCCTCAACCCAGCTTGACTATATCACTATAAATTTATTGTGCTTTCGAGTGAAATTTCGTGGTGTGGTTTCTCGTTGGAATTTAAATCGATTTGATTGGCTACTTCAGAAGCACTCAAAATTATTAGCCAATCAAAACCTTCTCAATGAAATTCAACCAATCAGATCGATTGTGGATCGGTTTGGTCGGCGCGATTCGATTGCACCCGTCGACAATACTACTACATAATACTAGTTTTTAGTAGTACTTGAAGCCCACTCCACTTTGAAGTAGCGAACACTGTCGCATCAATATGACGCCTCAACCATCCACGATTCCGCCACCATGTCCTCACACTCCATATTGTCGTCCATATGAAACGATCGGTGTTATATAAATCTTATCTCGGGTCACATGGCAAAAACGCAAGCCCAGGAATCGCATCCATGAGTTTCGTGGCGCGGAGCGCCTCCGAGTTGCCCTTGCGCCACGTCGGATCGAGCAGACCGGACGCAACGCTCACGGGGCTGTCGGGCGCGGGGTGGGGCCAGCGGTTGTCAGGGTTGAGCGACCACCAAAACCCGCCAGACAAGGGTTTCTGTGACAGCGTCATCTGGTTCACAATGGCCGTGATGGCCATGGTCGACACCTTGCCCTTGTCCAGGTCCTCCGTCCCAAACAACCCCCCAAACGACGACAGCACCACCGCCGCGCTCTGCTTGTTGAGCAAATCGCCAAAGATAGCCTTCATCGCATCTCCCACATTCGTATCCATGTCCACTTGTGTGGTGAAGCCCGTCCACTTGGTCAAGAGCGAGCCCCCCGTGGACGACTTGAAGAAATACGGCGCCGGGTATATGGACGGCGACCAAAACGGCGGCGCGTACACGAGCTTGTTGGCTTTGCCCACGTTGATGGGAGAGGTCAGCGCTTCGCGCAAAGACGAACCTGGCCAGTCGGCCACCGACTTGGTGTCGTCGCCCGTGCCGAACTTGGTCTTGCCAGTCAGTCCCTGTGCAAACACGAGCCACGTCGGGCACGCCTTGACGACCGCCGCGCCCACCTTGGACGCAAACATCTGCCAGCTCGTCTTCTCCTCGCCGTCCCACTGGCCCGCATCTCCCGCCGGCGCGTCCTTGATATCGAGGCCCACAACGTTCCAATGCACTTCGTTACATAGCGCCGTGGCGAGGTTCGCGATGGCCTTCTCGTACTCGGCGTACCGGACGTTGACGTTTTCCCAGCCGTTGCCGGTGGACCCGTCGCTGGACGGCCGCTGATCCAAGCTGATCACGCTCTGGTCGGTCGAGTTCAGGTCCGTCGCCTTGGAGCGCGTGTTGAAGTCGAGCACCACGGCGATCTTGAACTGCCCCAATCCCTCCGTCAACCGCGTGATCAGGTCCACGTACGTCTTAACGGACGCGAGCGCACGCTGCGAGTTCGTGTTGAAGTTGGTCTTGATCGGGATGTTGCGCGCGGCACTGTCAATGTCCAGGGGAAATCGCACGGCGTTGAACCCGTTCGAGCTCAAGAACGACGCGATGCGGTAAAACGAGTTGCCGTCGCGGGGGCCGTCCCACAGACCCGTGATCACGTGGTCCCAGCCTTCGAGGCCGAGCCAGTTCACGCCCTTGAACACGAGCGGCGTCTCCTTCCCTTTGGACACGGTGTAGATCCTGTTGTTCTTGGACAAGTAGTCGATTTGCGCGCACTTCATGTCCTTGTACTCGACGGGGTTCGTCACCTCCAGCGGCAGTTCAGTCGTCGTGTTCACGACCTGTCCGTCCGAAATCGTGTGGCCGGACCCGTACGCCTTGGCAAGACTGGATTCGTCCGGCTGACGACCCAGCATTTGCGTGTGTTCCCATGTGCCCCAATACACGAGCGCGCCGATGGCGCCAGCGATGCCGAGGATCAACGCCAACGCCCCCGGCCACACGGACCGACGTCCGCCAAACTTCTGCTTGCGACGGATGCTCTTGCCGTCGCTTCCTACGATAGGCGCTTCGGTCACGGCGAGGATGTCCTCGGACTTGCGCGGCCGATCGTCTACACTCATGCTCCTCGCGGTTCTCTGCGGCACAATGCAAATTGAGCGTCCCCCGACATGGAAAATTTCATTCGAAACTCTGTATGGAGTTCAGTATAGCCTGCGAATTACCAACGAAATCTCGAAACTTAATACCCTGCAACTTGTTCTTCACAACCGGCGGTTTCTGTTTTTTTATTGTGTCAAAGTTCCAGTCTTTCGAAATCCCAATACATTTTATCATATATTTTGTAAATAAGGATAATTAAAATCCAGCGACGACCGGCGCCGAATCTTCTGCGACATACCTCTAGCATTTAATACTGGATCACCTTACGTGAACTTGAAGCGATCAGGTATGAGATCCACTTGCTTGTTACTATAGCTCCCAATTCATGCCTTCCTGTCCATTATAAGACTTGAGCATGACTACTACGTAATGGACGCTGGTATTGTCAGATCGATGCGAAACCGTGCCATCACCAGAACTGAATATCTTCAGAACATGTTCTGTCGAATTTCTGCCAATCCAAAGTGGACTGATTCACTGTCAGTTTACAGTATAGTTCCTCCACATATTGGGCAAATCAGGTATATGCTACATTTGGTAAAATATCGTTTAAATTTGATCCAAATGTAGCGTTATTTGGCGAAATGATTCAAAAAATCAAAATTTGGGTGAAAAAGCACAATATGACGCAGTGGATTTTTAAATCCACTGCGTCAATTACGATCTGCTACTTTTAAAAAAGTAGCAGATCGTAATTTGTGTGCGGTTGTTGGATACCATTATAGTATGAAATAATGTTCAATTATTTCACAGCAGGACGCGATCGCACAAATGACGACGTTGGCGTCCAGGACCTGCACGGGCTTGACTAGCCATGATGTAATGCAGTGACTAAAATAATAATGTCAGCAGGAGACCGTACTTGCTCCTTTAGACAATTGCAAGGATAAGATATTAAAATGATAATAACTGTAAAATCCTTCTTATATCTTAGCCGTATCCGGAGAATCGACTTGAATTATCCGGATAATTCTTCTGACCCGGACGGCATGGGATGGACGATTGAAGAGGATGAGAGGCTGCGGTCCCTTGTGCACGAGTTCGGAGAACAGCAATGGAGTGTCATTAGCCAACACATGACGTCGAAATCGCCTGAGGGACACATGCGGAATCGAAAACAGTGCCGCGAGAGGTACTTGAACCACTTGAGTCCAAGCCTTCGACGGGACGCTTGGACCCGAGACGAAAATGCCACGTTGCGCACGCTCGTGGACAAATTCAAGTCCGACGAAGGCAAAGTACGACAAATCAAACCGTGTGTGTATGACATGGCGACATGGGCGGGACATATAAACGCACTTCCTGGTAGACGCCATGGGCGAAGATAGCGACGAGCCTCCCCGGTCGAAGCGTCGACCAGGTCAAGACCCAGTGGCGGCGACTTGTTCGTCAGCAACCGTCCTCACAACAGCCTTTGGATGCCGTGACGACGAAGACGTCATCACAGACATCACCATGGACCTCGGACGACAACAAGAAGCTCATGCACTTGTGTACGTCGACGACGTCCCTGCAACCGTCGTGGCTGTGGATTGCCTCGCACTTTCCCTCTCGCACCGACTTGCAATGCCGACAGCATTGGACGCACGTGTTGGATCCCGCGTTGAAGAAGGGCAAAGGTAGTACGAACGACCACCATCTCAACATACATCAGCATTGCCTCCTCATTCACGACCACCATGCATCGGACACAGGCACATGGACGGACGAGGACGACCAGTTGCTCGGCTCGTTGGTCGAACGGTTCGGGCCTTCATGGAAACACGTACGTACGCGTCCCTACTTCCCATGTCACATATTGTGTACAGCAACCATGTCACATACAACCACATGAAAGGGTTGACATTGAACTGCATTGTAGATTGCGACCAACTTTCCCGGCCGCCTCGGGAAGCAATGTCGCGAGCGGTATCGAAACCACGTCGATCCGAGTTTGACCCACGTAGACAACCAACCATATATCATGACTGCGAGTCCACAGCATCTCATGTTGCACCACGTCACAGGAGCCATGGACACTGGACGAAGACAACATCGTGTTGGCGGCGCAGGTCTCGTCCACCCGAAATGAATGGACAGCGTTGGCTTCCCGTCTCCCAGGTTGGTCCATTGCTTGGCCATTGCTCACAGGATCCCCACTTGGAACAGGTCGTTCAACCAACATGATCAAGAATCGATGGCACACCGTGCTTCAACCCGCCCTCAATCGACGTCCAAGCACGCAAATGGACCCACGACGGCTGGCGAAAGATCGTGACCGTACAATTGGCGGACATGGGCGTTGATACTCGCTAGGACGGCGTTGAATCGACGGGGATCGGCCTTCCCATGCTGTCGCTTGAGCCGCCGAAGCAGCGCGCCGACGTCGGCGAGTCCAAACTGTTGAATCTTTGCCTTTAGAACTGGCACCGCTGTATCCATCGTCAAGCAAGATGGCGGCGGTGCTGCCGATCGCTCGCTCAGACCAAGTGATGTGTCGACTGGTACTTCGCTCAACAGTTCACGTTGGATGGACGGCGGCAACGCGGCCCACACACCCGCGTCCACTTGCGACATTCGACCACATCGGCCCGACGCCGCTGGCTTTGTGGGAGGAGGTTTGGCCTTGGAATACGCGGCACACTGGCGAAGATGCATGGTTTTGGGAAAGTGATGTTGGATCTCGTCGCGCAGGGGCTTGGGAAGCGCGTTCAAGACGGACTGATCGATCTGCGAGTACGACGTCGGCACAGTCGGCGGCGCCACTTGGTGGAGAATCTCGCGGCGAAGCGCCTCGGGCAGCGTGTTGAGGACGTCCGGGTCGATCTGTGACAGGGTTGGCACGCTCCACATGGGACGATGATGGGTACCCTCTGTGGTCTGTCGCTTCTGAACTCTAATGTACAGTATCCCCAGCGTTACCACATTGGATACCCATACAAAACAACTATGGGCATGTTTCAAGTATGGTCAATTCGATTCGAAATCAATTGAACATCGAATTAGTGTGTGTGGCTGAAATTAGTGTGACACTGGACGATGTATACATACAAAAGTCAGTACAAAGAATCGAGAGTTGGCGAATCATCAGCACAAAAGTCAACCAAATTTGGGGTCAAAGAAAGACAATAATACAGTTCCTACTATACGATTTACATATATATATAGATAGCCGAATATTCTCGATTTGATACAAATTTGGGGCGGGGGTGCAATCAAATCGCGCCAACCAAACCGATCCACAATCGATCTGATTGGTTGAATTTCATTGAGAAGGTTTTGATTGGCTAATAAT